TTACTTACCGACGGTTACAACTCTCGACTTTTTCTTTTTTCTTTTGTCTTTTGCAGTCAACTTCTCCTTTCTAAAAACAAATAAAAAAACGTACATTAAGAAAGATCAGCCAGTTCAAATTATAGTGCAAGTTAAGAACATATGATTTAAAAAAAAATGACAACCGTAACAATACGATGTCCCTTTTCACTACATGAGTTATTTAGCAATCAATGAATGAGGCTGAGTAGGATATGAAGAATGAAACAGATCGAGAAGGGTGTTATCCACCGAGGCCAACACCCTCCGAGATCTGCTTAATTCTTCATATCCTACAAAAGCCGATAGTGTACGTTTAGGTTTGTCCAGCTCCGCAAATATTCTCCAAGTAGCAAGTGTCGCCATCCAGCAGTAGTTCTTACTCTTGAAACGAGTGAAATGTCCGCCATTTTTTTTTCCACAACCAAAACAACTGTAACGGGCTGTATTTTTGACGTCATTTCCTCGTTAAACACGAAATTCTTCCAAATTTGGTCATCAGTAACTGGTTATGGTGAATTATGCGTGTGCTTTTAGCCAATCAGAATTGGGAAAATATTTTGACTGAATAATAATTAACAATTATAAATAATAGGGGCCCTCTCCGTTAAGCCTAAAAGGGTTTGTGGAGAGTTCCTGCCGTAAATAATTTTATTACATTGTTCGTATCTATGCAACGGGGCAAACTACTTACAACGAAGTAAGGATTGATTAGTTGATTGACTGATTTTTGATAGTTGAAACATTGATACGTGTGAGAAACATTTTTGCCTGGGAAATAGGCGAAGGAATGTAATATGGGCGCAAGCAAGAATGGTACGCGCAAGGTAGACACCTATATTACTTTCAACCTCCTGTTACGCTCATTCTTGCGCCCATACTACGACAGTTTTCGCCTGAGGAAACAGTAAACGATATGAACATACTCCAGGCGTAGTTAATCGATAAATTTCGATATCGGAAATCAATCGATATCATCGATATCAATCCATTTAATCCTCGGATTAATATCGATTGATATCGGAAATCGATAGAAATCGAAGTCACAGAAGAAATAATTTATCGATTATTATCAATTAACAAAGTCGATAGGAATCGTAGTAATCGACAAAAAAATCATCATCGATATTAATCAAGGTCAACTTTTTTTCTTTATCGATTTCTATCGATCGATCAGTTGGAAATCGACATTTATCGGCGATTGATATCGATTACTATCGATTATCGGTTTATCGATTAACTACGTCTAACATACTGTATGTTTGTTCTTAAAGTGATAAGTCTGAGGATACGGCTGTTTTAGGTCAACTCTGTGCTGAATATCAAACAAATTGGTGATTTTTTGCAGGTATAGCATTAAAACTTGAAAAAGTTGGCCCAACTTTTACAACTTTCATTCCATGTCCATCCTTGCCATCCGTAGCGACAGACGACAGGAAACAGTTTCAATGCCTAAAATATTATAGTCTTAAATAACAAAACTGGACCATTACTTTTGGAATTCAATTGATGCGAAAGTATCGTTTGACAAAAGATTGCAACTGGCGTGAAAACTTTCGTTTTCGACTGTTCGTTTACCGGTAAGTTACAAAATGATAGTTTCTTTTTTTCTACTTTACTAACTTTTCAGAGGACTCTTCGTCAACAACTCCACCTTCGTTTCCGGACTGTCGCGATTCACTGTCGTCAGAGTGGCATGGACTTTGCTCGGGCATTTTTTTCTGCAGACGCGGACTTTCCTCTTCAGCTACCGTTTCTTTACCATTCATGCCTTCAGCAACCTGAGATGCCTCAGACTCAAAGCTAAGCTTTCTCTGTGGACTCCCAGCCTCTTGGTTCCGTTCTATGCTTCGCTCAGCAACTAAATCTCCAGTCGCGGAAGTATCAGGGGATTGTGTTCTTTTTAGCTTGTTGATTCCCAGCTGTCGCTCGGCTGTAAACCTCTTAGCTGCTGCTGCTGCAGATATTAGCATACCCTCAAGAGAAAGATCAGCGCTCCACTTTTTCTTTACTTTGTTATGAAGACCAGCTTTAGCCATTACTCCATCATCACTTCTTTCATCTAATTCTCTTGAGCCAGCGGATAACACATCTATATCATCACTCACAGCATCGCTGCAGGTACTTAGGGTGTCAGGGCTGTCAATCAAACCTAGGTTGCCAAGGTAAGTTGGTGGATTATCACTCACTTCTGTTGGCGGTTCCATTTCACGCTCCAGTTCTTGCAGTTCATAAATAACATCCTGTAAGCGAATGAAAGTAATCATTAGCTTCTTAGTTTACTGTAGTAAAAATTTTTATTACTCTGTGCAAGGTGGTTCAAGCTTTTGAGTCCGTGGATGAAACCCTAAGGTGTGACCATTCAAATGAAAACTACCGAGCAGTACTTTCCTTTGGTACTATTTATTATGCTGTACAAGGTGGTTCAATCTTTTGAGACTGTGGGTGAAATCCTTAACTATGGTCATTCAAATCAGTGAAACCTACTAAGCAGTACGTTCCTGTGGTACTATTTACTTTAATGTACAAGATGGTCTAACTTGAGTCAGTTGCTGAAATCCTAAAGTGTGACCATCAAATGACAGCTTCAGTGAGCAGTACTTTCCTGTGGTACTGTTTCTTATGCTGAGCAAGGTGGTTCAAACTTTTGAGTCCGTGGATAAAATCCTAAACTGTCGCAGCTCAAAGAAAAGCCAATGAGCAGTTCTTTCCCGTGATATTGTGCTGTGCGAGGTGGTGTGGTGTGTCGGTGAATGAAGTCTTTCAGTGTACCATTCAAATCAGAAACGGCTACTGAGCAATACTGATGTACATACTCACTTTTCTTACGCTGGATGGTTCAAAAAGTTAATGTGGAAGTAACGCCGAAATTCTGACCACCTCAGCCGAACTATAAGTTTCAAAACCCCTTTTTTAATTGCGACCAATGAGTTGTAACCTCTTAAAAAGTTCATTTCTGTGGTTCTCTTCTCACTCAAAGACTACTTTTCCAGTATTGTTTACCTTGTATTTTTAGCTCAGTGGCTAGCCTAGCACAACACGTAAAATAGCTGAATAGACCAATTATTGATACTTGGTTACGATGCTTGGGGAAGAAAAAAAAGATCATTTGGTCTATACCAACCACAATCTTTATTCAAACCTGGTCTTCCTCGCTATTTTCCTCGACAAAGCTCTCCCTGAGGTTGGTAACCATAGAAATTGGAACCACATCTCTTGCCGAGCCAGGAATTATGTAATGTCTACAGTAAAGAAGCACCTGTAGTAGTAAGAGTAGAGAATAGAAGGTAAAATTAATTTCAGTGTCTATCTCGCTTGGACGTAAGCGATTGTAAGAAATTGAAAGTGATATCAAATTCTCACCTCTAGACACTGTTTGATTTCTCCCATTTCATATAGTTTTGACACACATTCCTTGACAGACAGAAGCCCGAACCACTTCACACAGCCATCAACATGATACACATAAATCTCTGCACCAAAACAGCAGATGTCTAGTATCTCTACAAACAACAGAAAGTTACAATTCACTCATTAGGGCCTTGTCACTCTAAAAAAATAGAGTAAAATAAATAAAACCTACAGGCTCTTAGTTCTAAAAAACAGGAGGGTGACCCAACCGTCAGTCACAAAATTTTCATGTAAACAGTTTGCCTCGTTTTGTAGGGACATGTATGAAAAGTTGGCTTGAGCCAGGTTAGCTCTAGTAGGCAAGTGACCCCTCTAGGCGGGACAAGTTTTCTCCGTACACTGGGGGCATTATATAGACCTGAGTGAAGAGACTGATATCTTTAGAGCATAGACCGTTATTTACACACAGCACAGTTAAAGACCATTAGAGACTGTCTGGAAAAGCAATTCTTACGCCAAAACACAAAGTTCAATACCCATACCAATATTGACCATACCTCACAGCAACAAAGACAAAGTATTTGCTGTAAGTTTTATATCACCTGTGTCTAAGCTATACCAGGCCACCAGACGTCCTAAGATAGGATCGATAATGTACAATGAAGTTCCAAGCCATGTCACAATGAATCGCTCTCTATGAAAAATAAAGCCAAAATATTCCAGTTCAATTAATATGTTGATTACTATTATTCCCGTTTGCTACCTTTATGTTCATCACAATGTAACAAGGTTAAAATGCCTAAAATTTACTTGAAACATGTCTAGTGTTGATTCCAGTGAAATACAAAAGGATCCCCTAAATCTTAGTGTCTAATGAAAATTGAAGATTCAATAGAACGTTATCACTTTATTTACCATTTTTACCAATTAATCATCGGGTTGTCAGCAGTAAATAATAAATGCAAGATATAAAGCCGCTCACAAATTTATCAAAAAGCATTGTTCTTTCTCATGACAAGCATTGGCCCTAGGATTGATTATAGGTATAGGAGTAGGAATAGGATTCAATGAAGCCAAAACCAATTGTAGAATTGCACGCATTTCAGGCATTTTAACAGTTGGTCACGGATCACTTAGCCTGCGAACGGCAGACATATTTCCGGTCGTCGCTTCTCTCCCTCCGAAAATTAATTTTCGGAGGGAGAGAAGCGACGACGGGAAATACGTCTGCCGATCGCATGCCACGGATCACTAAGATTGGTCCATGTCTGACGAAATCATAACTGAGGTCGGACACCATGTTCAAGCAAAGTTGAAACCAAAACCTGTCACTTTGAAGATGAATAAAGTCGACCGTGAGCGCATGTGAATTGTTGAGTCAACGAAATGAAAATTTTGGAGTAAAAACTTGGCGGTAATACATGGTTAAAATTGGCCTGTAACCATCCCCTCGGGAATACCCCCGGGGATTTGCAAGTTTTTTCTTTCTTGGTGGTCTGTTCCCCACCCCCAGGCATGCAGAAAGAGACCATCCCCCCCCTGCCCCCATCTTTTTAAGAGCAATATTGATTTCCGTACAATAGCAAAACCAGACGCTTTCTTAACTTTTATAAACGTTTTCTAAAAATCATGAGAGAAGGATAATACATGTCATAATGTAATTAAAACGAAAAAGGAAGAAAAAAAAAACTGTAGAACACTACATATTAAAGAACACTGGACTGAATCTCTGTTTATCTACATACATTAAAAGCCTTGTATCCGTTTTCATGTACAGTCTATTTAAGTTGTCTTATTATTAAAGCTAGGCTGATCATTCTTGCAAAAAAAAAATCTATTCGAGTAGGCATCATACGCACATTCGCTTGAAATTTGAAAACGCACCTTCAAATACAGACTTTATTAGCCTGCGTAGCTGGCGGGATCCTGGTGCTTGTGTCCGGTCTACTTTCTTGCAGCGAAGCCGCGACGGAAAAATGACAATTTTCGAGCGGCGAAAAATGGCACTTACTCCGCAAAATCAAAGAGAAGATAGTTTTGTCCCACCCCACTACTCCCGGGACAGGACCGCTTCAAACAATTCCCCACTCCCGGGCCCGTGGGGCTAGACTTGTCTCGGAGGTTGCCGGAGCGGGGATGGAAAGAGGTCAAATTGAACCATGCATAAACAGTTTACTTGCGAATCCTGCGTCAGGACAAGAATTATCATTTAAATCGCGTAATACCTCCTTGATTGAGTTCGACCATATTTTTATTTTTTGTTTGTCCGACGTAAATGATAAAACAATTATCCTCCGCGTGGTCTGAGCATAGCCAGGGCTGTCACTGAAGGCTGTGCGCCAGGGATCTCCCCCGGCTACTATGAGCATGTCCCCTGGCTACTTTCATAGGAAACAAACGGAAAAATAATTTTCAATTCCTCGCCTACAAATTGAACATGTACCCGGGAACATGAAATCTTACTAACAACCCTGATAGCGGTAGACATATACCTTGGCGTTGCGCGTGTTGGTATTAAACCCCCATTTCGGGGAATAAAATGTGTACTTACAAAACTGTCCCTAACGGAGAAGTGTCCACAGAGTGGAGATGTTGGTAAGAAGAGGTTTACCTATTTCACATATAAATCACTCAATTTACAACTAGCAAGGTGCATCGGTGCAAGTCCGCCAGCTGAACCTCTGCATTCAGTAATTCCAAATGCTACCGAAAACCCTGACACAATGGATAAATAGGAATGTAGCCTTATACCTGACAAGCAGCAACTTGGCAAAATTAACAGATTGAGGTGGAAAATCTCCCTCTGCTACTGGCTCAGCAGCACTGCGCCTGCAAAACAAAATGCTCAGTTAGTGGAAAATCACTGATCCATAGTAAAATGTACTGTTAAGGATATGAACGTGACATTTCATAATAAGCACATGTAGGTGAAATACGATTGTCGATCCAGGTTGGTGCAGTCTTGAATAAGACTACTGTGGACGCAAGAATCTGATCGACGGTTATTCAACTTGTGCGGTGATCGTCATCTTCAGAGTAAAAGTGAGTTGTACTTGTACGTAGCTTATTCAATAAAGGTTGCTTTGGATAAACGAATTGTGCAGAGGCAAGCTATTGCTTGGCGCTTGCTCAGGCAGATCATTGCAACCAGTTCGCTTTTTGCAAACGCCCAATTGTCAAAGCAACTTTTGTTTAACTAGGTATATGCAACTACGCGTATTATCTCTGGGGACGCCGCAAAAAAATAGCCTGTGCATTGTGTTTTTATTGTAAAAGGTCGATCTCGCCTACTGTTAAACCAAATTTTAAGAAAAATGAATGTAACATACTTGCCAAGCATTTTAACCTGCGTAGCATGGCGGTTATGTCGGGCGCACTACTGAGCGGGCGAAGCCACAAAAGCGCGCGCGACCCAGTCTCCTCTCAGTTTCTCTGCCCTCGCCCAGCTTGGTTTGTTTGCGCGCCCGACCACAACCGCCATTCTACCCAGGCTACAAACATTTCTAACTCACCCATGTCCCAAAATGGTGACTGGTGGAGTTGCTAATGATTTCTTGTACTGCTGAGTGGACATGACTTGACCATCAGTGCTGGCCTGTAAAAAGGAAATAACAACACGTAGTGAAAAAGAAGTAGCAAAAGAAGTTTTTGCTTTTCATAGCCATACAGTGACCGGTAAATGGCTCCGTTAGCTTCAAAAAGCGTTTTTCAGCAAAAAAAAAAGAGCGAATGGGTTAAGTAAGACGTTTGCGGCATCCGGTAAAATTACGTCAATAGTAAAAGCGACGGTAACCGAAAAGCACTGGGGACGAGGAGGCGTTTGCTCAGTGTCTTGGTAGACCAGGAGAAAATGGCTGCAAATTTTTCACGTTTTGCGAAGAAGAAATGGCTGAACTAAGCAAAATACAACACAGTGGATGACAACTGCTATTTAAGTGGCTATTTAAAGAATTCGGCTAGACTAAACGAACAGACAAATGAAAGCAAGAACTAAACAGAAACAAAATTTAACAGAGAGGATTCGGCTTTCGCACGATCATCATACGAAAGCCGAATCCAGTAACTACTAAGTATCCGATCTCTCTCGATGCCAAGCCTACTTAAACTCTTCCGCTCCGCTTCCCATCATTTTTTGATTTTCCTAGCTCCCAACGTCCTTTTGTTTCTTTCTAAATGTAAGCGATTTCTCCCTTCTCTCTCCCCAAAAATTCTAGCCGTACTTGAGGTTTAGCAGAACCAGCTGCCCGGCGTCTTCCTTCGTATCTTACATTTGCATGGTATATCCTCTATTTCAATCGAATTAAACAAAAACGTTTTAGGGAAGTAGACTCACCTCCCACAGCCTTGATCCAGGTCGAGCTGAGTAAATGGTAGGATTGTCTGAAGTACTCTCCTTTAAGAAACAGCTACCAAAGAAACCATCCCTGAAAGAGCAAAACCTTGTAAATGACTGCTAGTAGTCTACATAATGGGATCTCCATGACGATGTAGCAAAATCTTAATGCAGTTCAAGATATAGACTGTCTTGTTGCGATCTTAAGTTTCAATGATTTGCTTTCGCAAAAAAGTGGCACTATCAGGACCCACCTAAGCTTCACACCAACAGCCACGCAATCCAGACTAAAAGATAAACAAGAATAATAGATTACATAAGGTTTGTTGTTGTTGTTGTTTGTTTCTGTTAACAAAACAATCAAACTTCTTCTAGGGGTTAAACTGATGACCATCAGGCCTCATGCCCCCTCTGCCCTTAACTAATACATCCATCGTAAGAGTAAACATTAGTGCATTACACTCCACTACAGTACTTGTATACACTACATAGTTTACATATACTTTCACTATAAGAACTGGCTAGAGAAATGAGGAATGAAGTGTTTTGTCAAATTATGGCTCAAACAAAACTCATAAATAGCAGACCCCAAGGTACAATCCACGGACTAAATTTTCTCACAAAAACATTCACTAAGTATCATATGCATTCTTAACTAAATTAATAGGATCCCAACCACAGTTTTGTTAGATAGCTTGATTATCCTAATCTTATATTATGTAGCCTGCAGTGCAGACGTATTTTGGGCAGGCGAAAGCTGGTTGTTTATATTCGTACTGCTGAAACTGCCATCTTTGATGTTATGACCGAGGAAGATTAGGGAGAGCAAAAATAATAACCCTTGACTCGCCCCATTTTCTCCTCTCTTTTCGAGTTTCAGCATGGCGCTTTCGTAAGCGAAAGATAAAGTTCTTAATAAAATTAATTAAAAATAGATAATTATCATCGTCAGTCTCTATGCAATCTGTAGATACACTATGCTTGTGTAGTTTAGTTGCCTGGGCAGCTGATGAACCACCATACCTCAGAAGAAGTTCATCTCAACATCAATTAAATCAACTAAAACAATAATTAGGCTAGATTTCAGTAAGCAATATCACTGACAGTGAAATAAATTCAATTTTTAGATTCTGCTGACAGATTTGTTGTCAATCTCCAAAAACCATGAACACCTGTAAAATTTCAGGAACGTTGATTGAATGTGTAGTGACAAATCACAATATTATATTACTAAACTCAGGACACGCAAGCAAACAACAAAACTACAAGCTACCCTGTAATTAAAGTTCTTGTTTTTGGTTTAGTTTTCTCATGCCTTATTGGCTTTCTGCTTACAACAAAATAACAATCCAGACCATACAAAATTTTGGCGTTCACATTTTTGCCAACTTTCACAGTAACTATGGTGAACCTGCAGTAAGAAAAGTGGCATTTGCAGTTTTTCTTTGATGCTAAGCTGAGAAACAAACCTTTTTAAATCCACAACAGCACTCTTGCTCATAGTTGACACCAGAAGCTTATCACCAGCACAATCCAACTGGACAATTCCAGTGTGTGCCTTTGCTACAATGCTGGTGTTGTGAAGAAGAGGTAGGCTTTTGTTTACAGAATAAGATGACTGAAAAGAAAACAATACTGTTCAGATCATTTGAAAGTTTTTGATATGCAATAAATTATAACATTTAGTTATCTTTATCTTCTCCAGTAGACTTCCAGGGACATACTCCACAACAGCTTTTACCAAAAATTGCTGTTAGTTCACCTGCACTGTTGTGTTGTCCAGAATTGAAAGCATTAATCTCATCATATCAAGAAAGTGCTTCGTGTTGGCTGGGGTTATCCATATTTCTGGTACTTTATTCTTGGTGAATGATTATTTATAAGGGCACTTCGAACTTTTGATGGCTATCATAAGGAACATATTACCAAAAAGCACTCTTTCAAGTACAATTATATGTATTTGACAGATCAGACTTCCATACAAATCTTTGTAAATTCTCAAATTTTTAAACTGTCTTTAAATCTTTCCTTTACGCATTTAAGGGCTCAAATTGCATTTATAAATTAAAAGGAGATCCGAGCCCGGTAATGCTTAAGGAAATATTTCATGACAGTTTTGAAAATTTGAAAATTACAAGGATTTGTATGGAAAACCATTGAAAGCGTGACTGGATGGCAAAAGTTGTTTTTCTCATACAAATGCTTCCAACTTTCGGCGGCCGTTGCAATTGCTACTTTTTAGATATATGGCTGAAAATTCGCAGGTTACCTAATTTTAATATGCTCTTTAAGCTTGTGCTAACAAAAATTTTCAAAAGTGAACTGTTTTCGTGTTGACTGAAAGTTGATCACGTGATCAAGTCATGCAAAGAGCCTAATACATTCTAAACTAATCAACATTCAAAACTCAACAATGCCTTTGGAATTTCTAAAAAGTGCAACACTATTGTGCCAGTCGACAAACGAAAAGGAAGATTACCTTGTTAGCTGGGGGGACATGTACAACACTGACTACACCCTTTGAGTCACCAGCAAAAAGACGACCCTCCTCATCATCCCAGCACAGTGCAGTGACAGTACTATTTTTGTGTTCTTCTGATCGACGGATAAGCTACGTAATAAGCGTAGTGGAAACTATTAGACAACTCATTCCACTGAAGGGAAGTATTGCCATTGGCCATTACTATCACTACACGTAGCCAAATGACAAACTGCCCTCTCTAAAATGCTCCTTTTCACAGGCCAAACGGCAACGTGCAGGCTGTAAATGGAATTTGCAGCCTGCAACATGATTTCATGTTGACAATCTTTCCTTATGAAATAAATTTGTACGATTTGGCTTTGTGTATTGATAATAATGATAAACACATGATTTGTCGTGCATATAGTTTATTTGTGTCCCTTGTACCATCATTTGCACCCGATGCTCCACTTGGGCACAAAATGATGCTACTCAGGCCACAAAATTAATAACTATATGCCCTCCAAAAGTCATGCCAGATTGTCCTATTGTCACAAAGATAGATCTCTGTGTGGACACACTTAAGTTGCTGTTGTTAGTGTACAGGGGTGGCCTCTGTAGAATGGTTAACATAAGAGTGAATACATGTACATGTATGGATTGTCTGCCAGGAAAAAATAGTAAGCCATGCTGTGGAAAGGTGACCATTAGTAGAGGCTTGACTGTATAGTCAAACATCCACACCTGGTCACCAATACTCAGTGGTAATACCCAGTAAAAGTACTTATTTCATTGTCCTTAACTAGAAAATGCACTTAAAATAAGAAACCTCTATTAAGCGGACACCTTCGGAACCTTCCCAAGTGTCCGCTTAATAGAGGATGTTTGCTTAATAGAGGTTGCACAATGTTTGTTAACGATCAACATTCAACGGTTTCTCTGTACTGTGATAAAGTTGCATGTTGTTAAAGAAGCTGTCCAGAGTTCAAGTTCATTACCTTTCATTACCAACTTTACTTTATTTGTAAATGCAAAAACATTAATTGACTTCAATACGTACAGTATTTCAAGGACGTAATCCAATACTTCTATTGTCAATTCAGTCCCCTGTCCACTTAATAGACATTTTTAACAATAGAAACTAGCCAAATACAACTTATCTTAGTGTCCATGTCCGCTTAATAGAGGTGTTCGCTGAATAGGGGTTTGTTATAAAGGGAAATATCACACATTAGTTTCAGGACTGGCTTAGTGTCCACTTAATAGAGGGTGTCTGCTTAATTGGGGGTCCGCTTAATAGGGGTTTCACTATTGTATCCTCTAATCTTCATGTTACAAATTTATAGAATACAACTAACCACACAAATCATAATAATGCATGTATTACTTTAATGCCATATAAATTACACTGTATCTGACAGACCTTTGGTTTCTCTCTGTGTCTTGCACTGACTTCCCATACCAGGACAATACCAACACTTAGCAGAAAAAAGTAAAAGACACACAGTTTAGGATTAAAAAAAATAATAATAACAATAATTATTATTATTATTCCCCTCAAAGCTAACAAAATTTACAATCTACCTGGTTGCTACTGCTAAAAGACTGCGATGTTGTGCAAAGCAAACTGCATGTACTGGACCATCCTACCAAACAAAAAATATGCAAATTACGGGAAATAACTTAAGCTAATCCACCAGAGCTCTAGGTGAAATCCATTTTGAACAGCACTGAAAGATGCACCCTGTAATTATTATATAAACTTTTCTTTTAATTTTCTCTAATCACAACAGATAACAATAATCACAAAAAATAACAGAACACAGATTTTCTTAGGCATTTTCAATTTGGTATCTAATTTTTAAAGTAAGGCAAGTACTTGAGGGAGTACAGTATAATTTACGCAGATATGTCTGTAATTCAAGGGAATGACAACATCAACCCTGTCATTTGCAAAGGAAAGACCTGCTGGAATGAGCTAATGCACCAACACTGCACATATTTAAGTAGTCTGTGGGGATGTAATCTCACAGTATCAGCTGATCCCCAGCCTGGTGACTTACTTTACCCTAAAGTGGCAATTAACTAAAGGAAGTTTTATTAAATGCACAAAAATTTGTCTGCCGTACACCCTGGATTTCATAGGTTCAAAGAGTCTTTCCTCTCTACAATTTCCCTAACAGCATAGTCTGACACTGTGAACATACCTTGTTACTTATGAACCTGGGATGATGAAGTGTCTTCCTGTCAAATACATAAAGCCCTCCAGTGCTGGATCCCATTGCCACATATTTCCTGGAGACTGTCATACAGGTGTACTACAAGAATCAAGACCACATACTGTACTTTACAGGTCTAGTTTCAACTATTGCATGGTGATTGTTAAAACCACAACATACATCCCGGGATAATAAGCCCCATAGCTAAGGTAATCTACCCATCTCAGAAAATCTGGTAATCACATGACCGACCGACCGTCTGTCCGCACCACAGGCATACCGATGTTTACTCTCACACTTTTTAGCTACTTTGGGAGCCCAGGAGGAAGCTGATTGCACATCACTACTGTTGTCATCAATAATTGACAGCTCTCAAAACCGCGCGAAATATCAGAAGCCCTGACAAGAGTCTCAGTCAAGAAAAGGTCTTGACATACTGTGTATCTACTTTTTGGAAGATAATTTTTTGCATGCAATGTGAAGTTCTTTGTATGCTCTGTAGTAGTGTGGTATTAAAACAGCGAACAAAGAGACCACATCATGCATCAAGTGGTCACTCACAAGAGGTGAAGAACAATGGCAACTACAAAAATAACAGGCTAAATAGTGGTGACAATCGCTTATCAGAGGTAGTTGTTTGCGAGAGGTTCTTATTATCTTGTGACTGGGAAAAGTCACTAATGAGAGTTGGTCAGCCATAAGGGTTCATCTGTATTATAATTATTCTTTTTCAAAGGCTGAGGGCCAGCTCCACATTTGCCAGCACAGATCACATGAAACAATTCTAAGGGGCTGCATGTTCCCACTTGGTGCCTTGGAAGCAGTACCAGGGTACCGGCACAAAATGGTGTTGTGTTCACACCGTGAGTACTGGATATGAGACTGTGTACATAGTTACTCCATTTCGCCCTGTCAAACACCATTTAGAAACATGAGCTTAGCAGCGAGTACAATGCAGTGGACTGCCCCAAAGCTAAAACAACAATGAGCACGCAAGGACCGGGTGCCAACTTTAGTGCCCGCGGACAAGGCTCTTGAACTAGGGCACTGGCACCTTACCAAGTACTAGCGTGGGCACTTGAAAAAAAGGGCGTGTTCACATTAGTGCCCAGTAAGTAACCGTACTCCAGCACCATGTCCCGAGGCACAAACTGTGAATGCTGCTCAAGGAAACAGACAATTAGTAAATATATTACTCGCCTAAATATCTAAACGGAATAATAAATGTAAAAGACAAAAAGGAAACAGACAGTTAAGTCTCATAATGAGCTGTACTGTTTCTTGCAACGGCACATGCAGAATCTACACGTACCGAACAGCCATTATCCATTAATAAAATTAAGTTCTTCGCTATTCAGTGGTGTATCAACAGGATAGCTCTTCGGAGTTTTCTCAAAGGATCGATTGGAATTATTGTTCGGAGACTATTTTGTGCCAAACCTCGCACGACTTCATAGTAAGCTAGAAGCTACACAAGGTAACAAGTTTCCTTGGAATTTGAAAAACATCTGCGCAACTAAAGCTAAAAAAATCAATAATTGTCATTTACTCCCACCTTTATTCTGGGATAAGCCTTTATAGGGGTACACAGATCCTCCATAGAACCCATCTCGGTCAGCAAAACTCCGTATTCCCCAACAACACTACTCCACCGAACGACTTCTTCGTCGCTCGCCATATTTGTTTAGACCGCGCAGTCAAAGTACTGGCACTAATTACTGGTTGTAATTTCTAATTTTTTTTTTTAGCGGGGGGGGGGGTGGGGGTGGGGGTTCAGGGTCTCCATTTTTTTTTTTTGGCGGGAAGTGTGCCGGGGGGGTTCGGGGGCGCTTGCATGTAGGAAAAGGGGGATGCCAATATACCCGATTTTTCTCCTCACAAGATATTGATGTACCTACAAATTGTAAAATATTTGATAGCGAATCCCTGAAATTACCCTGAAACAGGAAGTAATCTGCTCCTGCATATACCTAAGAATGGTTTGTCGGGTTACTTTGCTGACCGAGAGACAACGTTAACACAGCCAGATTTACAGTGAATAACGTTTGGGGCATTGCGGTCTTCTGGTGCGGCATATTTCGATCAGTGCATGAAATCTTGGGTTCTTTGCTTTAATCTCACTCATCTATGAATCAGCATATTTTAAAGAGCAATAGCCTGCGTAGCAAGCGTTTTCGCGTAAGTTCGTCGAGAAAGCTGGGGCGAGAGCCAAAAAGAGGAATGACGGGGGAGGGGAGAGAAAAAAATGCTTGCCCGCAAACTTTGAAAAACTGCTGGTTTGCCCACGAAGGCAGCTTCTGACTGGTGCAGTGCTGGTAGTATTGATTAAATAGCGATCAATACATCAATCAAGCTGCCCGAGCTGTGTGGGGCTAATGAGTGTTTCTATCAGTTATAATTCTAGCCGGAAGTTTTTCCGGCGAAAAACGAGACTTCGTCTCTGGGATTATTCAACAATATTAACTGAGCCTTTCTGCGAATAATTGTTAAATATGAGCAATATAGTTACAATAGTACGCGCGTTCTGATTAGCTGCAAAGAGGGCAATTTTTTTTTTCTGATGACCATGTTAGGTAACTTGATAGTGGACCTTCCATGTTATGGTCAATTGGCAGCTGTCAAAAAAGGGTTACCGCTTATCAGTGTCACATGACTGTATCGCGGGCTCAAGTGTAAAGCTCATTGAGGTGACGTGTTTTCGACTGGCCAGTTATTGGTTTTAATTGATCACAGGCTCAGGTCCAAAAATTCTCATAAACTGTCAAAGAAACTGTTTCTTGTGGTTTCTATCTCATCGCCAGGTTCGTTTCGGTTTGAAATTTAATAATGATAAAAATGCTTGAGATACTGATCTCCTAATTTGAGGAGGGGCATACAAATAGCAATTGATTTTTTCGTCGAGGTTGGAAAACCAAGTGTTTTCTCTCGCTTAAAATCAGGGTTAATCTATTTGAACATAACCATTCATAAATGGCAGGCAATTCAGAAACTGTTTGTTTTAGCAATATATTTAGATCTTTTCCAGTCACAGTTTTGGAAGCATCATCGGCAAAAAGTCTTATACAGAAGTAATGGGTTGTGAGACAATATTTCATACAAATTACAGAAAGTAATTAACGGACCCAACATTGACCCTTGTCATGCTCCTGAATGTTTCCTTTTACTTATTACGTTGGACCTAAACCACTGATTTTCTTTGTTCCCTATGCCTTATAGGTCAAGTTTGGATAGAAAAATAGAATAATTGACTGTATCATATGTATACCGTAAATCCTCGAATAAGCCCCTCTTTAATAAGCCCACCTCAGTCAGGGGACCTGTGAAAGTTATTAAGCCCCCCTTCTCATTTAACACCCTCATTCCTCCCCCTTATTCTTAATAATTGGTAGACTGTATTAAGGTAACACTTCATGTGGAGTGATCCGATATTGTGTTTTCATGTGCTGGACGTTCTGGACTTTTTTTTGGCGGATGCATCACGACCTCCAAATTCATTTGCCTGAACATTTCCACTTAGTGGACTTGTTCTTCACGGAGAACTGATACCATCATTTACACTAAAATAAATAAGCCTCCTTTCTCAAATAAGCCTTCTCCGCATTCTCGGGTTAACAGGAAGGGACACCAGTACGAAAACGTAAAGCGAGAGCAACCGCGAAACATAAGAAAACGAAATTACGAATTTCGTTTTCCATTGCCACATGACGTTATACTTCGATTCAGGGTTGCACAATACTCCCATCTGATAGCGAAACACTGTCTCCCTCGCTGATTGGTGTTTAAAAAAACGTCTGTTAATAGCACCACCAGATTTTAATCGAGCAATCTGCATGAGAACGCCGTATCATCACTCTCAAGTAAGTAAGTAATGGCTGCGTCATATCGGACTGTCTTGACACTTTGGCTCATTTTAACGGCGTTCTGCTTCGTCCATAGCAAAGTGAAAAGGTGCCAAGAGATTAAAATTCCCAAGTTCCAAAACTACTTTGGTTACAATTTAACTTACACACACCCAACATGCTCAACCACGACAAGAAGGAAGAAGAAGCAGCACTTGAAGTTCATCAGTTTTGGATCCCCATAAAAGTCAAGTGTTCACCAGACTTTAAGATCGTTCTGTGCTCTATGTATACTCCAAAATTCGTGTTGCTTGAATAAACTTCCTCGTTGCCGTTCACCCTGTGGAAGAGCAAGAAAAGAGTGTACCCTCTAATGCCTCAGTATGGCGTCTCGTGGCCCGAGTTAGAGATGCGAGAAAAACAGCAACAACACAAGGGTCCACAAAGTTGGCAGTGTCACCATCTGGTAAAATCTCTAACAAATGAAGGAAATGCGAAATTATCAAGATTTTCATGTGTAAAAACATTAGATATAATTTAACTTACATTCATAACATGTTGTCATATCGCGTGATTTTTTTTTATCTCAGCGCGGGCACCAATTTTGAGCAAGCGTAGTTAAGAAATGAGAGAGAGAAAAATGAGAGCCGTGGTTTTGTTGACTTCTATAGTCAACGGCTGAGGTCGCACTACGGTTTGCCTCTAGAATAACAGCGTTATAAACTTATAACCTCATTGTTACACTAAACCTACTGCTTAAAGGTTCGCATTTCCTTTGTATAAGAATTGATTTTTTTGACTTGATAATTTATGGGTGATGAACATGAGATTTATAAATAAAACATCATGCCGGATCAACGCGTTCTCGTGGTAAGTTTAGTTGTAATTTCTATTTTATATTTATTTCTTATTTATGAAGTGGAGACTTTTTGCTCCCCATGCCTTGATTGTGAAGCATGCTTTACAATTACGTCGTGTGTTCATTCGGAAAGGACAGCCCTTATGTTTACCTTTAGGTCCTTCAGGGTTAGGCAAATGCAAAGATTGGCTCACTGGAGTGGGCCTATCTGCGGCAACAACCCTGGTTCACCGAGATGTTAAATAACCATGGGCCCTCATGGCCGTCTGCAGGTTTTGTAACGGAATAAAAATCTTGTGAAAAACTCACGTTTTTTCGTGTTTGCGAGTTTGGAAATGACATGAAATGTAACATGGGCATATATGGTAGGCGTAGCGGTTTCCGGCCTTCTTTCGTTTAACTCAGAATGAACGTAATGTTTTATAAATGAATTTTGTCAGTGCCAAATTTGAGCTTTATACATGCAAAGAATGGAAACAAAAAGATCGATGTGTTGAAAATGTTTGCTCTTGGTCGTTTACACACATCGAACATCGTACCATAGCCGTTGGCCGGGAGGTTTGATCACTAAAATTAATAGGCTGATTTAGCAACATAACGGGAACGTCATTTGACGACGGGAAAGCGCGCGGAAAGGACTAAACTCGACTTCCGGTGCCCAATTTGCCACTCTGCCATTGGTCAAGCCAGTTCTTTGATTTTCGCGCGCCGCCGTCAACTGACGTTCCCGTTCTGTGGTTAAATCAGCGAAATAAGCCATTTTCACGATGACGTCATTTAACTACTATACAACCAGAATACTTCAGGCTTTTTTTTTTCTTGTGCAAATAAGGGCTTTTGTTATTCAAAACTCGCTGGGATGATCAAATTTAAATATGAAAGGAAAAACGAAAAGGGCTGTGGTCGTGGTAGTAAAATGGCGCCATCGTGGGAACTGCCTATTCCAGTACCTCACTCTTGAATATTTACGCTCCTACTTTTTTACATTCGCTACGGTCCGAATACCTGTTCACACTACACCACAGTGTGGCACAGAACCTATTTGATATATGACGCTCCACTTTCGAGATCGGCACAGAGCGGCTTCACCCCTTTAAAGAAATCTGGCCGAAATCAAGGTTCGTGTGTGTGAACAGAATCTCCATCCGGCACGGTTGTCGTGCCGGCGCAATAGCTATCCAGTCAGCCTAGTTCCCAGGCGTTTTCAGCTTGGTAATTCCTGGACTTTACCATGAGCTGTTACGTCACCGAGAGATACTCGCCGAGAACGCGTTCTCTCGCCCGCTCTATCTCCCAGACTTCGCGCGGACAATGGATCAAGAGATAACGCCTAGCGACCAGGCTGCTATCCAATATCAACAGTATAGTGTAAACATAGTTTTACTGATCTGTTGACGTGAATAGTCGGACTTCCGGTGTGAGAGTGATATGGGCATCCGGTCCGCGTTTTGGGCATCCCCATTACCAAAACGGTCAACACTTATTTCCATCCGCCAAACTGACGTTGACAGATTAATGATTCGTACACAAGGTAAGGGTTAGGGTTAGGGTTAGGGTTGTTGTTATACATATATTCAAATCAAACCATCCATGGTCAGCGAATTCTCGGTGGTGTAGGAGTTAAAGTGATGCACTGCAGAGCCGATGCTCCGTGATCGAATCCTACTCGTGCCATCCTGAACTTTTTTTTTTGCTTTACTCAAGTATATTAATTCTTGGTCTGGACCGCCCCGCAAAGATAAAACTGTTTTTTTCTTCTACGGCCTAAAATTCTAAAAGTTACTAAAAACTTTCGGAAATTTTCTCTTGAGGCATTGAATCGATTAGGGTTGAACTGATGTGGTCACGTGAAACGTGACGTCATAATGATATTCAAATGAAATGCTAAATGGGGTAGGGATGGTTGATTACAACTAAGTCTGAACCATGTGTAAATGTCTGGTTTTTGGTACAAAGTTTTTCCATGTCCGGAACGGAGAGAATTTTTAATTTCTTCGAAAGATATTAACAGATAAAAAGTGTCACGTGACCTATTTTCCTTAATTGTTAATTAAATAAAAATGGGAGTTAACCATTCCGGCCAGATTCATGCGAGGAACCATGATAGAATAACAAAAATAATGTATTTAATAGCTACTGTGTGGCATCTCGCCACCCCATTTTTAGTTTTCTCTTCTTTCCAGGACTTGACCTTAACTGGTCACGTGACACGCAAAAATGTTTTTTGCGTAACAAGAAAATTAAGTTTACCGATATCGTCGAGGCTGGCAAATTTTGATAGGTTCTGGTAAATTTTCACAAGGTTATGATCATTATAAGATTTTATGCAAATTAGGCTCAGGCCATGCCTTGTGCTTGAGTAGAGTTGCACAATATTGATAGCAAGAAAATGTTGGTTCTCCTTGCATCTGTCAATATCACTAATAGATTTGAAAAGAGCGACCTGAGAGCACTGTATCATCACTCTCAGGCAAGTAATGGCCGCGTCATTTCGGACTGTATTACACTGTGTGACATTGTGGCTGCTTTCTGCTTCGTCCATGGCAAAGTGAAAAGATGCCAAAAGATAAAAATTCCCATGTGTAAGGACATTGGATACAATTTAACTTACACACCAAATATGTTAAACCACGCCACCCAGGAAGAAGCAGCCCTTGAAGTTGCTCAGTTTTGGCCTCTCCTAGAATTCGAAAGTAAACTGTTCAACAGACTTAAAAGCCTTTCTTTGCTCTATGAATGCTCCGAAGTGCGAGCCGCATAATCCTAAGGCGAACGAATTTCCTCCTTGCCGATCACTCTGTGAAAGAGCAAGAAAAGGATGTGCCCATCTAATGCGTCAGTATGGCTTCTCGTGGCCTGAGAGATTCAGATGCGAGAACTTTCCCCAAAATTCGGGGCAAAACAAGACCTGTTTCTATCCTAATGGAACAGAAACGACCCAAGCGTCCACAACGCTGGCAGTGTCTCCATCTGATGAAATCTATAACAAATGCGAAATGATCACGATTTCTATGTGTAAAAACACTGGATATAATCTAACCTATATGCCAAACATGTTCAGCCATCACAATCAAGCAGAAGCGGCTCTTGAAATTCATAAATTCTGGTTGTTAGTTAAAGTGAATTGCTCTCCAGACCTAAGAAATTTTTTATGCCACATTTATGTGCCCAAGTGCGAACCGCATATAAAGAACGAATTACTTCCGTGTCGACGATTATGTAAAAAAGTAAGGAAAGACTGTGCCTCGTTCATGCATCAGCATAGTCTTGATTGGCCCAAGCAGATGAACTGCGAGAACTTTCCAGAATTCGGGGATGACAAGACATGTTTGGATCTAAAAGCAATGGGAAAAAAAAAGCATAGATCGTTTATCGACTGGAGCTATCGCTGGTATTGTTATTGCTGTAGTTGCTGTTATCGCCATGGTAGTTGTTACCGTCGTAATATTTCGTGCCAAGAAAAAAAGAAAACCAAACGCGTACCAGCATGTTCTGCTCCCAATGCCTACTTCTTTGCCCTACTCTGTGGTATACAACCAGCATCCGCTGTGAGATGAGGCCCCTTTCTGTCCAGAAGCTACAATGTAGCATCTTTGTGCAGGCAACAAGCATGTCACTGTGGCCGTGTTTTAACTTAAAAGTTGAAATGGCGTGTCATGATCACTGGTGCTTGAATACTGAGGCAGAAAACCCAGCCGGACTGTGTAAATGTAAGAACGGACAAAATTTGCGAAAGCTGAGAGAACAATTAAGGCCATATTTGACAGTTTTTGTAAGGTCGATGAAAAGTTTTTAATTTTCAATAGTAGTGTAAAGAGTTAATTGAATTTTAATATTGTTGTTGATTTATTCATTTTGCATTTGCTTTGCAATCAAGAAGAAAACAGCCGATTTCTATTTATAACTTCCTTGCTAACAACACTTTGTTCGTTCAACCCGAGATTTTCTACACTGTTTAAAAAAGGAAAAATAATAATGCAAAAAAGGAAACAGAAAAACAGAAGGCTTGTATCATTCTATTAATCAAAAAATCCACAACGATAACCTGACAGAAGGAAGAATTATTGTCGACGAATAATTAAACATAAAAATAAATATTTTGCCGTCTCGCCGCTGTGCTCACTCAGCCAGTTACAGAAAAAGATACCGCCAAGCGAATATCAGTGAATTGACCCCTCCAGTGAGTAAGCCCCCTAGAAGTTCGCTCCCACTTTTTGGAGTTCGTCTGATAGTGAGTGCGCTTCGTAGTGAATTAGCCCCCTACTTTCCTAGTAGTAAAATAGTGTTTTATATTCGTGGATAAGAACTTACCCTTATAGAACTGTCGTTGAGATCTATCATATTTTACGTACGAAAACAAATAAAATCATGAAGTGGTGGTTTAACTTTAATCGTAAAATCTAACCCTCGAATATCTAGTACCTGAAATGAAACGGTTTTTCATTTTAGAGAAGGCTGTTTCCAATGAAAAAAGGGTAAGTTGCACTAGTACAGTTCTGGTATTGCACGTGCGGTGCTGCCATGCCAAAATGAAAGTTCAATACAAGAAACTGCACAAGTTTTTATATCAAGCTAAAGAAAAAGCCGTGTGTAAACTGACCTAAAAGTTCTCAATAGAAACAACAACATTCATATGTTCAGACATGGAAAATACATACTAAGCAGAAAATATTTAATATCAGAGGACATCGCAGCTGCCGGCCGTATTCACACCAGAGACGGATTATCCGTCTGAGATTGGTTATGCGTTGGATAATTAGCGTCAGACAGATGATACGTCTCAATATGAAAATGGAACGGTCTTGCTTTTAGATGGACAATCCGCCTGACTTTATATACATGTTTTCCCGTCAATTTTGAGGAATTTTGAAGATGGATTATCCGTATCAGACGGATAATCTGTCTCTAGTGTGAAAACCGCCATTATATCCCGTTTTATATCCTGTTCACCCTCATCAGTTCTGACCATGTTCTGCATTCCCTTGTCAGGCTAGTTTGCATTAAAACTTCATCCGCTATCTCAGCTGCCTGACTGGTAAATTATTTCGTCCCGGAATCGCGTTTTTGTGCAGATCAGTCCCATTTACCGAAAATCGGCCGCAAAGCCCTAAACTGGTAAAAAAGATGGCTTTGAAGAAATGGAACACGAATTACCGTGTGGAATAGTCCGTCCGGAATTAAAAACAAGATTACCTTCTCAGATCTTCCGTTAGTTGCTCTGGGAATTTTTCCGCTGGAACGACCCAAAAAGTCGTTTTCCATTTATTTTACAATCAGATTTTCCAGAAAAACATGTTGCAAATGGTAAACAACTCACATATTTACAGGAGTCACGAACTTCTGGTAACGAGTTTTTTTTAGTAAATCTTGTAGCTGTTTTCTCATTTCAGACCACGTGAGTACCCAAAGAACCGTTGTGGTTGTTGTTGTTGTTTTTTCATGAAATGTCGTCCCGTGCATATGTTTACATAATTTATGAAAAGACAAAAGGAATTCCCCTGGAGAACATCACGTGGTCTGAATTGAGAAAACAAAACATACAAGCTAAAAAGGTCTATTATCTAACAAACAACATACAAAAGAGTTTCCTTATCACTAAAACGATAGCAAGTGAACCAATTAAAGAATAAAGGTTTCGTGCGAAAGCTTCTAAGCGAGTTCTAGCCATACCGAGTTGTGAACTATAACCATCGTTGAAACGTTTGATGCTTTCAAAACAATAAACTAAATAAACACAAAATGACTTTAGGAAGAGCTATTGTCAAGGCCAAACGTCGAACTTTTCATCAGACGAACCAAACTGGAAGGGCTGAGTTCATCACGAAATGTTCAGGATGTCTGATAAGTACGATGATTCATTAGTTCGACGTCAAAGCCGACCAAAGCCGTTGCGTTCGAACTCACGAAAACAACTCAGGAGGTGCTGTTAGCCGATTGGGCACAATAATACAAAGCATTTTTTGTGCCCAATCAGGAGCCAGCATTCGCTTGACCGTTTGGAAATGGTCCGGTGAGAGTCGGTACCCAGGGGCTTTTCCGCCCGTGCTTGAAAACTTTTTCTCCCCTTTTCTCCTTGTCTGACTGACTGCCCCTGGGTCTCCGAGGATGGACTATACCCTCATTAAATATGAACAATTGATGCGCCAAGAATGGACAATGAAAGCGGCAGGAAATAGAACGTGCATAATTATGTTACGTTTCAGTGATTTTAGCGGAGCTCCACGCGCGCGCGAAGCGCGCGCGTGGGCGGAGCCCCATTGCTAAGTAAATCTACCCATCCCAGAAAATTTGGTAATCACGTGACCGTACACCGACCGCCCGCCGTCCGTCCGCACCACAGGAAAACCAATGTTTACTCTCACACTTTTAGCTAGTTTGGGAGCCCAAGAGAAAACTAATTGCACAGGCTGCACATCAATGTTGTGATCAATTGACAGCTATCAAAACAGGGCATCCGCTGACAAGCATCACCTGGCCGTACCGCGGGCTTAAGTGTCGACCCATCGAGGTCGAGTATTTTTTAAAGTTATCCGCTGACAAATTACCAGTTTCAAATGATCGCAGGCTCAAGTTTATTTTTTCCAAGGATTCATATCAAATATGTTGTGTTTATGTCACTATGGCCCCGCACTATTAGGATTTTGATTTCAAACTGACCTCGGAAGCGAAAATTCATCCAGTTTTTTTAAAAGTACAGGGGGGAAGACCTTATCTTACCATGGTCACGCGTTGGTCACGCTCTACGTCCAATTTTTATGCTCTGATTGGTCAAAATTTGACAGGTGAGTTTATGCGGAAAAATTATGCAGCATCTTGAAAGTAGTTTACTTTGACAGCTGAAGCTGACAGAGTTTTGTGTCAACTTGTGATGTTTTTAACTGTCTTTTTCCTCTGGAGGTAAAAATGAAATACAGCTGCTATCAAGAGTCTTCTGTTATTCATGGCTGGTTTGTTTACCGGGTTTTGGTTGAGAAATGCGTCGCTTGTCAAAATTCGGTAATTCGATTTCGGATGGCATCGTTTTCGTTTTTCACCTTGCTTAATGCGTAAGAGGGTTTAAAAGTCTCAAGCAACTGTGGTTCCCTTGATAGCTTTCAGGAACTGAATCTCGAATAGTAAGCCTAAGTAATTATTGTATTTGATGTTTGTGTTTCATGAAGTCTTGCACTGTTCACGCTGACAGTTTATGCGTTAAGTTTATGAACGTTTGCAGGATTTGAGTCAATGATCTGACCTAGTACCAGGTTTCATATAAGCTTACAGAACTTTAAAAAGCCTTCAGATATCTTTGCTCACCACAAATAGAAAGAAAACGTTCCGAAGGATATTTAGTTATAAATTTGGCTGTAGAAAGAAAACTTTAAGCGATTTTCTTGCTTCGAGGAGTTCACCTTCGAAAACAGTAAACACCGCGCTGGGAAACCGGCTAAAACATAAACTTAAGCTTTACGCTGAAAGACTCAGGATTTTTAGAGACACTTTAAAGGGAACCTCCACTCTTACTACAGAATAAGTTTAAATCGAATAAAATTATGTTGATAAACAAATTTGTTCGAAATTTGTCTGAAAAAAAGTGTTTATATCAGGAAAAGTGAATTTTAAAATCGCTTATTTTCACTTTCAAATTTCGCGGGCGCCGCCATCTTGACTAATTGTGACGTGTAATGGTTGCTCTGTTGTTCTGACACAAAGAGCTTTTGTTTAATAACAATAGGGCAACCATTACACGTCACAATTATTCAAGATGGTGACGCCCGCAAAATTTGAAAACAAAAATAGGCGAATCTAAAAGTTATTTCTTTCGGATACAAACGCTTTCTTTAAAAATATTTTAGATTGACTTGACTGTAACATTTATTTCCTGTGATTTAAAGTTATCTTTTTGTTGAAGTGGAGGTTCCCTTTAATACTTGTCTTCATGAATGAAAATTCTTGTCTCTGTAAATGTTTCACGGAATTATATCTCTCTTTTTGATTGTTAGTAGTCTCTCTTGCAATTTTAATCGCTTGTCCGTGCCGTTTGTTTTCATCGTTCATGACCATCGCTTGCAGGAGTACTCAAAAATGTCGCGCGTATCAAACGCTTTATAAGATTACACATCGTTATAACGGAAACCATTAAATAACAAAACAAATAATAATAAATTCGCTATTATGTTGAAGCGTAACTCTGTTAAAGTTCATTCAAACACTCGACCACACTGACAGCTCGCACTATAGAAACGAGAACCAGCTGGCTGTATGGGTGATTTTGGAAATTTTCTGAAATTTTTGAACGGTTTGGCTCGTCCTGAATATTGACTGAGTGCAATTTGTCTTGAAAAATTGTGAAATACCGCATTCTGTCCGAGCTCTGTATGATAAATAGTACTGTTTCACCTCAAATATGGTGTATAAAAATTATAAAAGGTTGGTTTAAACACCCCCAGATTTGTTGGCAAGAATTTGTAAAGTAAACTCGTCGAACGCAAAAAAATTTGGCGTGATTTGTTTTCCAAGAATTTGTTTTCGAGGCCTAATCTACTGTGATCTTGAATGCGATCGAAGATGTTTGCTATTTTTTGGGTGTACATATAAGGTTATCAATTCGATGTAAGATGTTTCACTCTAAAATAACTTAGCCTTTCCCTCAAAAGTCACATGAATGTGCCCTTAAGTTGAATGATTTGTGGATTAAAAGTTTGTTGTTTGATTTAAATTATAAATTTATTACAATTGGAGCTTCGCTTTTAGCCCTGGCTAAATCTATATATTAAGTCACAGATGGCTTCATACCCAAATAGAACATGACTCATATTAATAAAGAATGGCATCATACCCAAGAAATGATACTTAACAATTATTCCTCGAGACCGAATGGGCTCTGAGTCAATAGCCCATTCGGCCTTCGGCCTCATGGGCTATTGACTCAGAGGCCATGAGGGCTCGAGGAATAATTGTTTTAGTAAAATCCAACTAGTTGGTAAAAAATATCGAGAATAAAGAAAATCTAGCTACTTAAAGCTAGACTTTCATCCTTTTTTGCCGCCAAAAAGAGCGCGCTTTTCGCTAGTAGTATATAGCCTGGTAGTAGCTCAACCAATCTGAACGCAACATTGATAATAGACCACTAGTTGGATTTTACTAAAACCCATTATTATGACATAATCCATCCAAAAATAATTAAAAACCTGACAAACTGGTTAAACCACCTAAAAGAGCACATGACCTTCTCGTAATGATATTCCTGTGCATTTTATACATGAGTAAAGACAAAACACTATGACATCATCAGCAATAATATATTCCTCCTCAAATTTATGAGATTCCACCTCAAAAAAAGGAGTAACCAATCTCTATACCACTACTCATTGGGTAGTATCCATAACTATGGCCTTCTTATCCAGCTCGATAAAAAAAATGAATAAAAAAAAATGAATAAATAGAAATAAATAAAAACAAAACACTGAAGCACTTCACATGCAGCGCGGGCAGCACTAGGTATTAGTCGAGTTACTGATCTACTAAATTGAGGAGGGGCATCGTCGCGATTCGAAAACCAAGAAGTTTCTTTTGCTTAACCCTTGCTTCCTTTTTGGATCGTTTTTCGCCCAGTTAGCTTGGGAATTTTCAACACTTACGGTACATTGTTCTGATAATTGGACGTTATTTACCATCCTTTTTTGTTTTTCGCGCATGCCCACAAGCCAAACTTTATTTGTGTAGTCAGTTTAATTTGTTCCCCACTTTTGCGTCTCTATTTAGCACGGACTTTTAGCTGGCTTTCTTTCCAAGAAAGGGACAAATTTAATGTGCAGAGCAATCGATGAATAGCAAAATTGGCAATGGATTTTCCCCTAGTGTTGCTTTTTTTTTGTCTGTAACTCTGTCTGGTTTGGTCCAAAGCTAAGCGAGATACCAGCGGAAAGATCTATCCTCGCTGATTCTGCCACTTACTATCTTAGTAGTTTAAACTGAAAGCTAAATGGGTCAGGAAAGATGATATGCATGGGTCCAGTACATGTCCAGGGGGTACTTCCTTATAAGAGGCTAATGGGGATGTGCTGCTGGATGGGGTCGCATTTCACGACTGGACTGACTATAATGGGGTTGCACATTTTCGGATTTTTTTGGGTAAGATAGTTCTTCATGTTTATGGTTAACAAACGTACCAGAATGTTTCTGCTGCAGATGAAAAGTTATAAGAGTTCTCCATTCAATCTAAAAAATAAGTCAATTCATAAAAATAGAAAGTGACTAAGATGGGGTCTATAATTGACCACAGAATATAATATAATGGGGTAGGGGCTCTGAGAGGCCAGCGGCACCTACCCAGCAAACATTAACCCAAGTACCCCTCCCCGGGAGTACATGGGCCCACAAAAGCCGTCAAAGAGTTAAAAGCAGGGTTAATCTAATTGTCCTATTTGAAAAACCATTCATAAATGAGTGGAAATTCAGAATTTTTTTGTCTTAACAACATAATTATATAAATCGTTTTTCAGTCACAGTAAGATTGACCCTTGAGGTACTCCTGAATGCAAAGAAAAGTGTACTAGATTCAACGCCGTTAACTACCTTTCGCTTCTTTTTATTTACGTTGGACCTAAACCACTGATTTTCGATGTCTCCTATGCCTTATAGTTCACATTTTGATAGAAAAATAGAATGACTGACCGTCTGAAATTTTTACCGTGCATCCTCTATTTAGCCCCCGCTCAAATACGTCACAAGTTAAATAAACCCCCCTTTTCAGGAAAAGAAAGCCATTAAGCCCCCATCCTCTCTTTTCACTCCTCAACCACCTCCTCTCCACCCCCCCCCCCTTATTCCTAATTGATAGACTATATTAATCAAAGACGATTGTAACACTTTATGTGGATTGACCCAGTATAGTTATTCTCGTGCTGGAAGTTTGGATTTTCTAACGGTTGCATGACCTCCGGATGCTCCAGCGTTCTTGTTGTTTATCGAGAAATGATACCGTCATTTTCGTTAAAATAAATAAGCCCCCTTGTCAAATAAGTCTTCTCCGCATTCTCAGGAAGGGATTGCCAGTACGAAAACTTAGAGCGGAACAAAAACCCTCGAAACTTAAGAAAACGAAATTTTGACTTTCGCTTACCAATACCACATGACGTTACACTTTGGGGTTGAACAATACTTTAATGTCTCGAATTTGATAGCAAAACACTGTCTTGCGCGCTTATTGATGTTTCCATGCATCTGTCAATATCAATAATAGATTTGAAAAGAGCAATCTGAGAGCGCAGTATCAGTAATGGCAGAGCAAGTAATGGCAGGGTCATGTCGCGTTGTGTTGACACTTTGGCTGTCTTTAACCGCGCTCTTCTCCGTCCATGGCAAAATGAAAACATGCCAAAAGATAAAAATTCCCATGTGCAAAAACATTGGCTACAATTTAACTTACACACCAAACATGTTTAACCACGACAAGCAGGAGGAAGCAGCGCTTGAAGTTCATCAATTTTGGCCCCTCGTAGAAATAAAGTGTTCACCAGACTTAAAATTCTTTCTATGCTTGATGTATGCTCCGAAGTGCGAGTCGCATAAAGTCACGACGACCGAATTCCCTCCGTGCCGATCACTCTGTGAAAGAGCAAGAAAAGGATGTGCCCATCTAATGCGTCAGTATGGCTTCTCGTGGCCTGAGAGATTCAGATGCGAGAACTTTCCCCAAAATTCGGGGCAAAACAAGACCTGTTTCTATCCTAACGGAACAGAAACGACCCAAGCGTCCACAACGCTGGCAGTGTCTCCATCTGATAAAATATCTAACAAATTGAGAAGGAAATGCGAAATTATTAAGATTTCTATGTGTAAAAACATAGGATATAATTTAACCTATATGCCAAACATGTTCAGCCATCACAATCAAGCAGAAACAGCTCTTGAAACTCATAAATTCTGGTTGTTAGTGAAAGTGAATTGCTCTCCAGACCTGAGAAATTTTTTATGCCACATTTATGTGCCCAAGTGCGAACCGCATATAAAGAACGAATTACTTCCGTGTCGACGATTATGTAAAAAAGTAAGGAAAGACTGTGCCTCGTTCATGCATCAGCATAATCTTGACTGGCCCAAGCAGATGAACTGCGAGAACTTTCCAGAATTCGGGGATGACAAGACATGTTTGGATTTGAAAGTAATGGAGAAAAAAAGCGTAGATGGTCTATCGACTGCGGCTATCGCTGGTATTGTTATTGGTGTAGTTGCTGTTATCGCTATGGTAGTTGTTACCGTCGTAATATTTCGTGCCAAGAAAAAAAGAAAACCAAACACGTACCAGCATGTTCTGCTCCCAATGCCTACTTCTTTGCCCAACTCTCTGGTAAACAACGAGTATCCGCTGTGAGATGAGACCCCTTTCTGTCCAGAAGCTGCATTGTAGCATCTTTTGCAGACAACAAACATGTCACTACCGTGTTTTAACTTAAAAGTTGAAATGGCGAGTCATGATCATTGGTGTTTGAATACTGAGGCAGAAACCCAACCGGACTGTGTAAACGTAAGAACGGACAAAATTTGCGAAAGCTGAGAGAATAATTAAGACCAATTTATGTCCTCATAAATTTAAGTTAATGGGACAACCATGAGAGATTACGTGCCGGTTGTGTGACATGCTTTAAGGTATGGGGTAGGGTTTCACAGTCCAAAGTTTAGCGTGATCACATGCATTTGTAACGCAAACTGTTCGCTGAGCCAATCAGAATCGGCTGGTATTTCACTGTCAATCAATCCTCAGACATCGAGCACGAGTTGTGTGTTCATTCATTCATTCGCTGCGAGCTAGCAACTGTATTTGTCTTGTTCTACAATGTGTTTTTGCAGCCGTTCAATTTGCTTTTTCGCTCGCTTCTGAGACGGTTTCCCTATCCTGTGAGGCGATCCTGTGAGGTGTTTTCAAGTTGCAAATCATGCCGCCACGAGCGCGCCGGTCGACTTCCCGCCCAGGCGCACAACCGAATATCGACCCGACCGTGCTTGGAGCCCTATCCATCGCCGACCTTCGCTCTCTTTGTGTTCAACATGGGATTCCGTCGACAGGAGTCAAAAAGACTCTCGAACGCCGGCTCCGGGACCTGAACAATCCACCACCAATTCAGGTTCAAGACATTAATGAACACGAACCAGCAAATCCAAACAACGACGAAACGGCGGCACACAGGCAAGAGCGCCCTGAGTTTACAGACGGCCAGATGCAGACGATTCAACGATTAATTGCGGACACTGTGAAACAATCCGCCAGGGAGATAGCGACCGAAGCGGCTAGGGGCCGCTGTGAGTGCTTCGTCGAGCCTCCTTGCCCAAAGGCCCCCTTCGCTGGTGCGTGAAACAGCGCCCGACACGACAGCTCCCACGAACACTGCGGCGGTAAACTTCGCATCGCCATTCCAAGACATCCCAGGGCAGTATATCAAAGACATCCAATGTGGTGAGTTTTTTGATCTTTCCAAACTACTTCCTAAGAACCTGTCGCTGCACGACGAGGAGGATAATCTTGTCCTCTCCTTAGAGAACTCCGTCGTTAAGGTGTCGAAGAAATCGAAGCAGACGGCCTCCACCTCTAGTACCGATATTGAACAGTGGACCACTGCTTTTACGTCCTATATGAGTGTACTAATCGACAAGTTCCCAACACGATCGCAGGAACTCTTGCAATATGTTAGTTTAATTAGATACGCAGCCCGCGTGCACAAAGGGTTAGGATGGGCCATTTATGACTTTAAGTTTCGCCAGAAAGCTAGCGTCAATAAGTCTATTAATTGGTCAGTGGTTGACACTCAGCTTTGGTTAACCATTTTCACCGTGTCACCAGCGATACTCAAAGAAGAGTATCCGCTTTTTTCAAATGGACCCCAGCGAAATGTGTCTACAACAGGGGATGCGAACAGAGGCACATGCAACTTTTACAATAGGAGTGGCACATGTAATAGAGACCCCTGCTATTTCAGACATGTGTGTAACAGATGTAGTGGATTACACCCAAGGGTTGACTGCCCGGTCCACCCTGTGCGGCAACCAGAGCGGGAAGGGGGGAGGCATAGAGAAAGTGACCATGGTGGAAGCTCAAAGTCAAGTTCCTCTCATCGAAAGTGAGAACACTACTTGCCCCCTCCCGACCCCTATTAATGTACAACGACTTGAGGAAACATTGACTAATCATCCTGATCGGGAATTTGTCTCGAAATTGTGTAACAATCTTAGGTATGGGGCCGATGTGGGTTTTACTGGGAGACGTGTTGCTAGATTTTCTAGGAATCTGCCCACTGCCCTTTCCCAACCAAATATTGTTTCAGAAAACCTTTCCAGGAAGTGGCCCTGGGCGAGTTGCAGGTCCTTTCCCCACCCCACCACTGCCCAATTTCCAGGTGTCACCCATCGGATTGGTCCCCAAAAACATTCTACGAAGTTTAGGACCATCTTTCACTTATCTTTCCCAAAATCTGGAGCGACAAGTGTCAACTCTTCAATCCCCAAGGAGGATTTCAGCCTTCAGTATATAACAATCGACAATGCAATCCACGGGATTTTGAGCCTCGGGCAAGGGTGCTTTCTTGCGCGAAGACCGATGTCGAGTCAGCGTTTCGCCTCATCCCTCTTAGGCCTTCAGATTATGAGCTCTTCGGCATGTATTGGGAGGGTAGCTACTACTATGACAAAGTTCTTCCCTTTGGCTTGAGGAGTGCCCTTTCCTGTTCAATTTACTGTCCGATGCAATAGAGTGGATCCTCCTCAATCAATGCCAGGTTTCGTTTGTTTGTCATATCCTCGATGATTTTTAATCATCGAACCAGCATTATCCTCTCCCCTCTAAATTTGCTATGCCAGCAGAGCTTGAATAGCATGCTCTTGACCTTTAGGAATCTGGGTATCCCCATTGCAGCCAACAAAACAGAGGGCCCCTCTACTACCCTTGAGTTCATGGGAATTATCCTGGACACCGTCCGGATGGAGGCGAGACTCCCAGCAGATAAGGTGGAACGGATACAGGCCTCCTTGCCCTCTTTCAAACAAAAAGGACATGCACCCTAAAGGAGTTACAGTCACTCATTGGGACTTTAAACTTTGCATGCAAAGTTATTCCCCCTGGGAGGCCCTTTCTTCAGCGCATGATTGAGCTCACTCGTAAAGTCGCTAAACCTCACCACCACATTAAATTAAGCCAGGGTTTCTTCAAGGATCTCACTATGTGGCAACAGTTTATCCACACCTGGAATGGGGCCGGGTTTTTCCTCCCTACTTCATGGCTAGACTCCGACTCCTTAGAACTCCATACCGATGCCTCAGGCACACTTGGGTACGGTGGGATATTAGGTCAGAAATGGTTTCAGGGTAGGTGGGAGACTCACCACCTGCTCAATGCTCCTGGTATAAGCATTGCCTGGCAAGAGTTATTTGCTTTGGTGGTAGCATGCCACCTATGGGGGGATGAGTTTGCCAATAAGTTTATCGTTTTTCTATTGCGACAACCAATCGGTTGTCAATATAGTAAACTCCAAACGATCCCACATTCCTAGGGTTATGGATCTGGTTCGCCATTTTACCCTCTTGACTTTAAGACATAACTTCTATCCAAGGGCGGAACATATTGAAGGCAAGAAAAATGACATCGCGGATTCCCTCTCTCGATTTCAGATGGAGCGTTTTCGCAGCCTGGCCCCTCATGCAGACCCAGCCCCATGTCCTGTACCCCCGACAATGTTGGTGATCTGAATGCCGACATCCAGAAGTACTTACGCTCTCTGTTGCTGCCTCTACTAAACAAACATATACCTCTGGTGAACGTAGATTTTTGGACTTTTGCACCCTCCACAGCCCACACAGGTCAACTTATTTGCCCACCAATGAAGAGACTCTAATTCAGTATGTTGCATATTTAGCCAAAACAATTAAACACTCATCCATCAAGGGTTACCTGGCTGCAGTTAGACACCTGCATATCCGCTCAGGCTATGACCTGGACCTTAAGAAATTCTTGCGCCTGCAGTTGATTTGCCGCGGCATCAAGCGTTCCCAGGGCGATTCTACCCGCATTCGACTCCCTATTACAATAAACCACCTCAAATTGTTCTTCCAACTTCTTGCAATCCCAACCTCCCTAGTTATGACTCCATTATGGTATGGGCAGCCATGACCTTAGCCTTTTTGGTTTCCTCCGCCTGGGAGAAATGACCTGCAACTCACCCTATTCATCTACACGCCACTTGTCTCCAGGGGATGTGACCTTTTCCCCAGTATTCAGAACCCTGACCATATGTCAGTTAGGATAAAAATATCCAAAACTGACCCATTTCGCTTCGGGTCAGACTATTGTTATTGGAAAGACTGACCAGAGGGTCTGCCCTGTTTTGGCTATGACAAATTATTTGTCCTACCGGGGACCACACTAGGCCCACTTTTTCAGTATCTGTCTGGTGCCCTCCTCACAAAAGCGAGACTTACCTCTGAAACTAGGTAGCTTATAACCATGTCTGGTCTTGAGCCCTCGCAATATGCTGGACATAGCTATAGGATTGGGGCTGCTACAAACTCTGCTTCTGTGGGTCTCCCCCCGCCCTGGCTTATTAAAACACTGGGGCGGTGGTCCTCCGACTGCTATAAAAGATATATTTAGTGCCCCCTTTCTCTTCTTTCTGGGGTTTCCTGTCAGCTGTTAGGTGATACCTTAAATTAGTTAATTCATTACTTATTCTAGGGGTCAGGGTTGTTTCGTCTATGGGGAATACACTTTGTGTATTTGTGGGGATGAAGTGCTCCCTTACAGGCACTCTTGGCCCCATAGACTCACAGAATTGATGGGTTACCATGGTAACCATGAGTCTAAACTCCCTTAGCCATAGGACTAGGAACCTCTTTCAGGGTATTGTGACCTGCAGCCCTGAGGGGGAGTAGGGACCTTTTCAGGGTATTGTGACCTGCAGCCCTGAGGGGGAGTAGGGACCTTTTCAGGGTATTGTGACCTGCAGCCCTGAAGAGGAGTAAGGACCTCTTTCGGGTATTGTGACTGCAGCCCCGAAGAGGATTAGGAACCTCTCCCAGGGGTTTGTGACCTGCATCCCGGAGAGGAGGGGCTTTGACCCCCCTTACCAAAGCCAGATTAGTGATTTATCTATTGATGGCATTTAGTTCCACCGCCTGCTATTGGAGTACTTCATTCCCAACCCCTTACCCCACATATTGTTGTTGTGTTCTTATTTCTCATGGGTTGGGAGCATTAAAGACCAATTTATGTCCTCATAAATTTAAGTTAATGGGACAACCATGAGAGATTACGTGCGGTTGTGTGACATGCTTTAAGGTATGGGGTAGGGTTTCACAGTCCAAAGTTTAGCGTGATCACATGCATTTGTAACGCAAAACTGTTCGCTGAGCCAATCAGAATCGGCTGGTATTTCACTGTCAATCAATCCTCAGACATCGAGCACGAGTTGTGTGTTCATTCATTCATTCGCTGCGAGCTAGCAACTGTATTTGTCTTGTTCTACAATGTGTTTTTCCCTCCCTCCCACCCTATGGTTTAAGCATGTCACACCCAAATTAACACTAGTATTACACAATGCTTATGAATTTGCGAATAGTTGTAATATATCTTACTTAAGCTGTTAAGCTGGGCCTTTGGCCCCCATGTTAGGGATCATTGACTAGCTTTCCTATGTACAGCCACTGTTCATGTTTCTAATTTTCAGATTCACAGCAATATGTATTGATATCTCTTTATACAAAACGTTACAGTTATGAGCTATTTTTGTTACTGTTAGCAACCAGTGCTGTTGGTATTGATTTTATGCAGTTTACATGCATCAAAGACACTGAATGAACTGTTTAGCCTTGTCTAATCCCAAGGACTACATAATTGTAGTAATGAGTTAGTCTACAATTTTGATCTGTCTAATTAAAATACAGAAATAAACTTTGGGTTGGGATGAAGTGCTCCCTTACAGGCACTCTTGGCCCCATAGACTCACAGAATTGATGGGTTACCATGGTAACCATGAGTCTAAACTCCCTTAGCCATAGGACTAGGAACCTCTTTCAGGGTATTGTGACCTGCAGCCCTGAGGGGGAGTAGGGACCTTTTCAGGGTATTGTGACCTGCAGCCCTGAGGGGGGAGTAGGGACCTTTTCAGGGTATTGTGACCTGCAGCCCTGAAAGGGAGTAAGGACCTCTTTCGGGTATTGTGACTGCAGCCCCGAAGAGGATTAGGAACCTCTCCCAGGGGTTTGTGACCTGCATCCCCGGAGAGGAGGGGGCTTTGACCCCCCTTACCAAGCCAGATTAGTGATTTATCTATTGATGGCATTTAGTTCCACCGGCCTGCTATTGGAGTACTTCATTCCCAACCCCTTACCCCACATATTGTTGTTGTGTTCTTATTTCTCATGGGTTGGGAGCATTAAAGGCCATATTTGACAGTTTTTGTAGGGTCGATAAAACGTTTTAAGTTTTTAACTTTCAGCAGTAGTGTAAGGACGTACTAGGAAAACGAGGTGCCCACAGAGAAAAATTCTAGTCGCGCGAGTATTTTCACCACAAAGGCAAGTTATATATCAAATTAAAGCTAAAAGACTAAATTACCTTATAAAATATTTTATTTCATCGAATTTCAAAAGGCGCTTAAGTTTTTTGCTCTCGAACTCAGAGGTATCGAGTTTACTGCTGAAGCTCCAGCCCTTTCGCGTTGTTAAATATTCACTTTCTTTTTATTGCATCTGATTGACAGATAAAAGACCTAAAAAAGGGTGTGAGGAAATTTGCATATGTCTCCTATTAGGGGAATTATTACATTTCAAACTAAAAAGTCGAATCTCGAGCGCGATTTACGCAAAGAAACTGACATAAAATGAGTTACAAAGGGAAATCGGAAAATTCCTCACACCCTTTTTGAGTCTATATCATTATCCATCATATCTGAAAGTTTCAAAGCGATAGCTTAAAACCTGTCCCGACTGGAGGTCGGAGAATTTTGATTTTTGCGTCTGAAATAGAGCGAGAGAAAATCAGCTCTAAAGATTTAGCGCGAGGTCCACGCTTGGCTGGTTAGCTCAGAAAAGCTCATTTTAGAAGGGTTAAAAAGCACTTTCTGATTTTCTTTTTCTGCCAAAATAAAATTTAGGACCCACTCATGCCAAAAATCCAAAAAAAAACAAAATCGAGCAATGTACTAAAATTTTCATTTACCGAGACCTTAAATTTCGATATTGTCGTTAATATATTCATGTTGCTTTTGCTTTGCATTAAAGAACAAAACAGCCGATTTTTCTATTTATAATTTCCTTGTTAACAAAACTTTATTCGGTCAATCCGAGATTTTCTACACTGTTTAAAAAAGGGAGAAGAAAAAAAAAAGAAAAGAAAACAGAAGAACGGAAGGCAGATATCCATGAGAATCCACAACGATGACGTGACAGCAGATGGAAAAAAAATTAATTAAAAATGAAAATAAAACGTTTGCCTTCTTGCCACAATGCTCACTCAGCCGGCTACAGAATAGGATACCGCCAAGCGAATATCAGTAAATTCGCCACTCTAGTAAATTAGCCCCCTACAATGAATTCTCTCCCACCTTTTCGAGTTCTTCTTATACAGCTTGAGTGTGTACAGCCGCCCACCCTCCTCAGAAAAAAATCGGTTTTCAGGGGAGGGAGGGGGCGGCTCTACACAGTAGTGACTTAACCCTCTACTTTCTTAGTAGTGAAAATTATGGTGTCGTGTATTCGTGGGGAAGAACTTACCCTTAGGACTGTCGTTGTGATCTATCATATTTTTCGTGCGAATGAAATAAATGAAATAAAGTGGTGGTTCAACTTTAATCGTAAAATCTAAAATAAATAATATATAAATATATATTTAGTACCTGTATGGTTTTAATGTTTTTTGTTTTACACTTTTAAAAGTATTTTGTTTCCAAGAAAAACACGGTAAGTTGCACTAGTACAGTTCCGGTGTTACACGTGGGGTGCTGCCATTCCAAAATAAAAGTTCAATACAAGAAGCTGCGCAAAATAGCTTATATCAAGCTAAAGCAAGAGAGGATAAAGAGGACAGAGAAGGCATCCCCCATACACACCCTATTCCATAGGTAGTTCGTCTCGAGTTATTTTTAAGATCACAGATCCCGAGGGGGATTAGACAACAGCCAATCACATAGTACAAATGTGTTCCGCGTGGATGACCCACGCTCGGAGCCACGCGTCCTTCACGAATTGACGATGTATAGAGCTAACAGTACAGCAGGGAAATCCTTATCACACTGAATATTCTCTCAGGATCATTTATAATTTACAGTTTGAAGAGAGCAATTTCTGGTTTGATATTTATTCTTTTATTAGTCTTTTATTATTCAACAAAATAACACTTGGCGTCCTTCTTGCTTTATTGTACAAACGACCGGTTTCAATTAACCGGCGAAATTTCTCATTTTATTAAAGCACTGAGGTTACGACAACTTCGAGTTAAACTGATTTCACGGGTTGTCAAAGAGCCCAGCGATTCCCTTTTCCCAGGTGAGCGCCGACTCATTTCGCTTCAATATTCAGAAATGCTCTCGATCTCTTCACGCTTTCATTGCCTTTCGCCCGACATGTTTTGCACGGCGTTTTGTCATGCGAAACCTCCACGAAACATCCACGCAGCGCGCGAGGTAACTTTAATAACTCAAGACGAATTACCTATGGAATAGGGTGTGTATGGGGGATGCCTTCTCTGTCCCCTTTATCCTCTCTTGGCTAAAGAAAGAGCCGATCTAAAAGTGCTCAATGGAAACAACAACACTCATTTTTTCAGATATGGAAAATATGTACGCAGGTAATATTTGATATTAGAGGACGTTGCAGCTCAGGGAGCTGATTATATTTAGAGATCGAGGAGGTTGTTAACACCCTCCGAGATCTCCATAATTCTTCAGATGATACGAAAGCCGAATTCAAGAATTGTTGTATTATTCATTCAAAATAATTCCTAGTTTTTAAACTAGCTAAAACATGCTTAGCTTACCTTCATCGATGTCAAGTTCATCTTCGATGGTGCGCGTTAATCGGACAGTTTAGGAGGTGAAGGTCAGTTCAGCTCCGCTAATATTCTCCAAATAGTAGATGTCATCCTTCGATTTGTCTTCTTACTGTTCTTGCTATGTTTTTAGCCAATATTTCGCCTATTTCGTCCTGGTGAAACGACTGAAATGTTCTGTCATATTGGTTCTCACAACCAAAACAACTCAACCTGGTCCCCAGGTCTTCTCGGTTAACGATTCAATAATCTCTCAATTTTCCTGCACGATTGACGTCATCAGTTCAATATGGTAAAATTCTTCAACTTGTCTTGACAGTTCTGAGTTCTTTTAGCACCAAGTATTCCTTGAATAAACATGGATAAGAATAGTATACACAAGTCAACATCAGCGCTTATTGTACTGCAATATTACCCTGGCCTGGAGATAGTCTGCCAGAGCGCTGTCCTGCTGATCGCTAAATGCCGCTGAGAGTAGGGAGAAGGCTCACTCAGCCGCAGCAGAGGAAGGCTGCACCAATAGAACCTGCTTCACTGCGGCTGATTTAATTTATTTCTGTAGAAAATACACCATATTTACAAAATTTGATGAATTTATGCTCCAAAAAGTGCTAAAATTTACTAATTATGCCGTGGCAGTTCTCGTTTAAAAAAATTATGCTTTTTTGCTCCAAATATGCCGAAAATTATGCTAGCACAATCCGCCAAGGCCTATTTATGAGCAGTAGTGGTACGATCGTCTGGGTGAACGTGGTCCTGAATAGGACTGTTGTTGATGGTATTAAACTCTGGTTATCGATCTGATTGGTTGACCAATCAGGTCAATAACCAGAGTTTAATAAAATCAAATGACGTGATACAACTCACTTTGACCCTGAAGATGACTACCGCACAGGTTGTCGAAAAGTGAGTCACTGTCAACAACAACAGTCCTATTCAGGACTACGTTCACCCGGACGATCATACTCAACCTACTTATAAAATGACCCCCTGGTTCAAACACTTCACAGTTTTACATGTAAGGGACTGGTCAAAAAGTATGGGGGGGGGGGCCGGAGCATTTGGAAATGTGGTTGATAAAAAACACATGACCCACCCCCTCCCTTCGGCACAAAAATGACTGACCCACCCCTAAAGCAAGGTTGGAAATTGCATGACCCACCCCCTAGTTAAAACATGGACGTTTGGTTTCCTCTTAATAATCCAATAAAACCTTGTTCTGTACTTGACAAAATTTGTTGATACACTGCTACAACCAACATCAAAATCACAGAAATTATACCTTTCACTGAAAAGACGAATGTCAAAAACCGAACATTTCTTGTTTCAATGGTCGTTATGAGTCTTGACACAAATATACAGCAAAACGACCTTGTGTCACGTTTTTTCTGGCTGAAATTTTCGAAAAGGTAAGTTTTGATCCCTATAATTTTCGTATCACTAGACTTTCAGCTAGGAGATCCGAACAGACGAAAAATTGTTTGGGGATAAAAGTACGCCTATATCTACTGTTTAAATACTAAGATACGTTTAACAATGCTATGTTTAAGTGGTTTTGAACTATATTCTCGTTGTGTGCTCCCTATCTTTGATAGAAAACCTACTATCAGGAATAAAAGTCACAAAAGGAAGTCTAAACTCCTAAAACAAAACAACAAGGAGGAAAAAGAAATATTGTCATTCGTGACCCAATACCAGCCCTCAGTGTCTACTATAAAGAAAGCTTGAATGAAAAAATGGAATCTTATACAAAACTATAACTTCAATAAATTTTTAAAGAACCACCAATCATTTCCTTAAAAAAAGGAAAATTGTTAAAGAACATGCTCGTTAGGGCCGAAAAAAAAGGTTAACAGAGGGTTCCACGCCCGTATAGATGTGCGGCCTGTCAACCTTTGTATTTTCTCGCACAGAAGGTTTGTGAGTATTTTAGCAATAATTCCAGCTGGCTGTGTTTTATATAACAAGTGTAGTCAACTGTCTCGTTAGTAGTTAGTAAAAAATAGGGTGACCCACCCCCTAAGAGTAGTTGAAAATTGCTCGACCCACCCCTTGCACAAGGCTCAAAACCTCATGACCCACCCCCTCTCTGCTCCGGCCCACCCCCACCTATACTTTTTGACCAGACCTAATAACAGGTTTTTTTTATCATGTTCACCCTCATCAGTTTTGACAATGTTCTGCATTCTTGTCAAACTAGCTAGTTTACATTAAAACTTTATCCAATAGACGGAAAATTCCAAAGTTCCAAGGCATGGTAGATGAAGAGCCAAAATATTTTAAGTATTTTATTTGTTTGTGTCATTTTAGTCATAGGGTCATTAAGGTATTAAGAAATCAACAAAAAATGGGAATCATGCTTCGTACAATTTCATACAAACAAAATTCAAGGACTTTTTCAGGACTTTTTCAAGTAATGGTTCTGCAACACAACGCAGTATCGTGTGCAGTGTATCTCATAAATAAAATTTCTCACCAACACTCAGTTATTACACCTTTTAGCCATCTCCAGCCGATAAAAGCATTAAAGCACGAAATGTTCGTGCACCCAAGAAGGAATTGGCTTGTTTTCAAGGGTGTTTTCTCTGGTGAACCGCGTGAGCGTCTGTCTGCCCGCGTGGAGGTGTAATTATGGAACAACATGAATGGTGTTACGATAGATTTCGCGTAGCCAAAGCATACATATATAATATTTCACCATTCAGAACAAGTAATTGGTTTGTACCCTACAAGCACCAGCGACAAATCATTTTTGAAAAAGTTAGCATTTTAAGTTCCCGTGGTTTCCTGCCATCTCTTGATTTCCTATCGTGCCTTGTTCTGTAAGTTCCCTCTGAACTTCATACATGTTTTTCCCTGGGTTCCCTGTTAACTTCTGTGATCACTTGTTCTTGGATTCCATTTCCTTGTCATCGTTTGGTCCTGGAGTCCCTGTTAATTCTTGCGCCAGCACTGTTGCTCTTCTCCGTCCTGATTGGCTGATCTCCGCTGGCTGTGGACCTGGCTAGGAGGTTGGGCACGGAATGAGTTTTGATGGCGGGAAAACGCACGTGACCCTCTAAGAAACGAAGAGAGCGAACAACACGGGCTTCACGAAATACGCAAAAGAACTACGGAAAAATATGCTTTTGTAAAAACAAATTTTGCATTCGCTTCCACTTACACAAATTGTTGGGCCATTGACAAGACATCAGTCCATGACATTTGGAGGGCGGAAGGGTGGGGGGACCATTGTTAGGGAAATATGAGGTAAGGGGCGGAATAGCGCAAAAGGAGGAGGTTGCAAACAAACCGGTGGGGAACGGAGTGTAAATGGCACCTGAACTTTAAGTTAACTCTTCTTTCTCCTTCATTCTCCCTAACACAAGCACTACACCGATCAGTTAAATATCAAATTAAATTGAAAAAGTTATCGTGCAACCATTTTCAAGGACTTTTCAAGGACCACATTAGATTTTCAAGGACCACCTACTAGGAATATAATTTCACAGATTGTACAAATATTCTAATAAGACTTTAGGCTTGAACTGTTTGCTTCACCAGCTTCTCTACATTTTTCAGTTCACTGCTCTTAAATTGATAGTTAATTATTACATAAAACATAACCTTTAAATTCTCTGAGCTATGATTTATATCCTGTCTTGGACAACCAAAAAGCATCAAAAAACTCTTTCCGAGCCACTACATTCAAAGTTGAAGAAAATTCAAGGACTTTTGAAGGACTTGCACAGAAATGTAAGGAGTTTTCAAGGAAAAATGGAATTCAAGGACTTTTCAAGGAATTCCCCTGAAATTCAAGGACTTTTCAAGACTGTGAGAAACCTGAATATCTACTGGTGTAATGTTTTACTCAAAGCTCAAGCTCGAGTAAGTTACTCAGAGACTGACGAAATCGCAACCATTATCTGACACATTTGCCCAAAGTATCTCTGAAGAATGAAAGTGAGCATGACGGCTTAACTACCTGAAGATAACGACTTTCGTCTCGGGGAAGGTTCTTCCGACGATGCCAGCTCGACGGACTGGGAAAATAGAGGACTAGACTGAAAAAAAAAAGAAAGAAAAATAAAAACTATTTACGCCCTGAAATCACAAATAACACAGATATTAAGTTCATGTTCATGTTCATTTATTTCACACTACTTAGTTCCAATTCAGTTCACAGATATAAATTAAAACAATAACAGGATCTCTTCACTAATAAATCAAACAGATAAAACAGGGCTAATACAGTAAACACCCGCATATAAGAACAAATGGATTAAGAACATTAGGCTGAAATTTGGCCCAAAAGCACCATACATATAACAAAAAATTCAGCCTGATAAATAAAACACGTTCTTATATAATAAGGGAGAGGGTGTCGGAATAAGAAGGCAATGTAACTATGGTTGTTGCTAGACAATATTGAAAAAACTATAACAGTTGCCTGGGTGTCTTTAGGATTTTTGTTTACTTACTTGCTTATTTATTTATAATAAAATATGCTAACTAAACCTCTACTCACATCATTGTATTTCTGGAACAAAGTTTAAGAACATATAAAGAACATCTTCAGGCTGGTCTCTCACTAAGCATCCGATAATTAAAATAAGAACTAGATAAGCCTGAACCCCGAAATCATGTGTTCTTATATGCGGGTGTTTACTGTACTATCTTGAGTGTCTGTGGAGGCCAAAGTAGCGACTGCTTTCGAGTTGGCCACCACCACACACTGAGTTTAATTAACGTGGAATCCAAGACTAGCATAATATTATTTTATAGATCTAAATTAATTAGAAATACATTAAACTATGGACTATGTATCTTAAATTTATGGAGAAAGAAGTAAATAAATATTAATAAATAAAAATAAAAAAATTGAAAATAATTAAATAAGGAACTAACGATAAGAAAAAAGGGGACAAACAAGTCAGCAAAAAAACAATCAAGCAGCAAGCAGACAAACAGACAACGTAAGAACTCAAGCATTTATAAGTAATTAACATTTACGTACTTAAAAGAACATATCTAATTTGATTGACAAGAGATTAAATGGGTTTGCTTTGTAAAGTTTCTTAAACTGTTGGGGTCTTCAAGTTGTTTTAGCATCAAGGTGACAGTTTCCCATAAAACTGAAGCACAGCACTTTAAAGTGAATTTATCCATGTTAGTCCTAGCGTTTGGACAGTAAAAATTGAGCTTAGTCGATTTCCTTGTGTTATAAGAGTGGACAGTTGTTACAGGAGTTACAAAATTGTGGAATATAGAAGGAACAGGTACAGAGGATGGATTGCTGTATAATTTATGTGCCAATAAAAACAACGTAAGGACTCAAGCATTTATTAGTAATTAACATTTAAGTACTTAAAAGAACATATCTAATTTGATTGACAAGAGATTAAATGGGTTTGCTTTGTAAAGTTTCTTAAATTGTTGGGGTCTTCAAGTTGTTTTAGCATCAAGGTGACAGTTTCCCATAAAACTGAAGCAGAGCACTTTAAAGTGAATTTATCCATGTTAGTCCTAGCGTTTGGACGGTAAAAATTGAGCTTAGTCGATTTCCTTGTGTTATAAGAGTGGACAGTTGTTACAGGAGTTACAAAATTGTGGAATATAGAAGGAACAGGTACAGAGGATGGATTGCTGTATAATTTATGTGCCAATAAAAACAACGTAAGGACTCAAGCATTTATTAGTAATTAACATTTAAGTACTTAAAAGAACATATCTAATTTGATTGACGAGATTAAATGGGTTTGCTTTGTAAAGTTTCTTAAATTGTTGGGGTCTTCAAGTTGTTTTAGCATCAAGGTGACAGTTTCCCAAAAAACTGAAGCAGAGCACTTTAAAGTGAATTTATCCATGTTAGTCCTAGCGTTTGGACGGTAAAAATTGAGCTTAGTCGATTTCCTTGTGTTATAAGAGTGGACAGTTGTTACAGGAGTTACAAAATTGTGGAATATAGAAGGAACAGGTACAGAGGATGGATTGCTGTATAATTTATGTGCCAATTAAAAAAATTGTGTAAAGAAAGAATAAATGTCACCATCGCCATTTATGGCAGTGAAAGAATCGTAACCGTAGATTTTTGAGCGTACACTGTGACACTAGAAAATAACTGATTTACACTCACTGTGAGGGGGAGGGTACGTCCAGACAGCACCACAGGGTCCATGTGAGGAAGATTGACCGGAGAGCGATTAGCTCTGAAAAAGAAATATGATAAAACGAATCAACACTGGATGTAGCATTGTCTACTAGCGTTCTCACGTTTTCGTACTTTACGTCTTGGCTCATTGGAGAGTTAACCAATAAAAGAGAAGCGGGTTGAAAGCAAGGTCGAATCTATGAAATGGTTGACTTTCAGACTTTCATCACATAACTACTGGGTGGATAAAAGGCGATATAAGACAAATTTTTGATTCTTTGCAAGATTTGAGAAAAAACTAACAAACAAACAAAAACAAACACGGAAACAGAATTCGAAGATAGCTTCTTTTAACTTGATCTTTCAATACTCAGATGTTAGAGCTTGATAGTTGAAATGCTATTGAGAAAAAAAAATGTTTTTTTCGTTCGCTCAAATGAGAGCTCATGTCTTCACTTAACCGTTTCCAAAATTTAAGAAGGACTTGCCCAGCGCGCGTGAAAGAATGGCAGGATCTAGCTTAGGGATGAAACTGTGTCAGATTCTTTATGATCTTCATTACTACTTACTTTTGGGGAGAGGTTTTTTTGGTTTTTTTATCTGGTGCAAACTCTTTTTGGTCGGCCATGATATTTTTTTCCTCATCTTCATGAACAACAGCTTGTCTGTAAACCCAGCTAAGGAAATAACAAAAGCAAAACATTCAATGAAAATATGCTGAATGCATTCATTGGATCACCACCAGAAATATCACAATACAGCTGTCACGCACAAAGTGGGGGTCTTTATGCCAGGGGGGCAGTTCCAGGACGAAGTCCCTTTTTCAACTGCTTTCAAGTTCTAAAAGGAAGTACATGAGAAACGTTTAATAAAAGAGCCAATTGGATAAAACACGAGTGACGATTTATTAGGCCTGCACCTTGTTTTGTCATCCCACTCGTTTGAATATTAGACGAAACACTCCTACTCGTGCTTGCAATACCGTATAGGGCAATCGTCCCAAGACAAATTGAAAACAATGCTTATGCAAACTTCTGGAGGAAAAGCAAAGAGTATTATAGTACTTTGGAAAAGGTCTACAAAGCGTTTTTACATGACGTCACGGCTGCCAAAACAATGAAACAGCGGCCATGTTGGTGTTCCAAACCAATCCTGTGGGAGTTGAACTCTTTTCTTGTGTTAACGCTTTCTTTTGTTCCAATAAATAGACCTTTTCACGGTTTTCGACGCCATCTTGACGAGTAGGCAAACGCGTGAGAAATTACAGTGTTTGTATGAGAATCTAATGTCGCATAATTTCCGTAGAACGGCTGTTGTGAAAAAAAAAATGTGATTTGTAAACTAAAGCTTCACTCCTAAGGATTCTCCTGAAAAAATTTGAGGGCGTTACATGCACCAGAAGATCTAGAACCAAGTTTTAAAATTTTCTTCACATTTGCCTGTAAGAAAGTCCCGGGGAAATTACAGACAAATATATGGAAAATCCAAAGCAAGCCTCTGGAAAAATTTAAGCACAGGTACGCCCCCAAATTTTTTAGGACAATCCTTTGCTTTGTAGCTTTAGTTTACAATTGATATTTTTTTCAGAACAGCCGTTTCACGGAAATTATTCGACATTAAATTCTCATACAAACACTGTAATTTTTCACGCGTTTGCCTAAGGTCTATTTGCAAAGATACTGGCCACGAGAGCGAATAAACTCTATAAGGGAGTTTAGCAAAGACGTTTATGAGCAATGCACGTCAACCGGAAATGAGGCTTTTTCCCTTTTAATATGCCTCGACGCTTTCAAATTTGTATTGCTAAGTAGCTTTACTCTTATCGAGACGATTTGCCCGAAAATGTGGGCAAAACCACTGCTCAAGAATGGAAAACGTCCACTTCCGGTTGACGTGCATTGCTCGTTTTTGCTTAAGCTCCTTTGCGAAATCAAGGCGCTGCTGTTACCTATACGTCATCTGTTCTCGGTTATGTTGTTCAGAAGCGGGTGAGGTAGACGTCAGGTGATTTGCCATGGCTTGGCGAGCTGTCACAAGAACAAAATTTAAAACAGTTTTAATGTAATTGAAGTAATAATGACCTTATGGTGAGACAAGCACACAACAAAAACAATCACAACAACAACAACAAACACTCAGTATGTCGAGCAACTTGTCTTAAAAACTTACAGACATGTTTTGCAATGACAGAAGGCAAAAAGGCGACAGCAAACATACATGAAACATATCTGGCTGTGTCACTATGTCAACTCTCAAAATTTTATTATTCATTCAAAATGATTAAAAACTAAAACAAAACCTACCTAGATCAATGCTAAGTTCCTGCCTTTATACTACTACATGAGAAATTTCTGCAATTTGATTGGCTTACAGCAGTGGTATTTCAGCTTAATTTGAAATACCTACATGTGAAAATTACACACCTTTCGAGGGTAGTAGTATAAACAATTAATAGCACGATTTGTACGTGATATTTGGCATAAATACCACTCGTGATATTTCCAAATTGTCTCAAATTTCACTCGCCTACCGGCTCGTGAAATTATGTATAACAATTTTGAAATATCACTCGTGGTATTTATGCCAAATATCACTACAAATCATGCTATTACCTATACTAATTTGCCTGTTTTTCGGCAAATTCAGGATATAAAGGCATATTCTTTACACATCAGTTTCCATCCGTTGAGTTGTTTTTTTTAATGCTTGTATGCATGTCTTAACGAAGAGGTTCGGCTACTTCTTCTTCGAAAAAAAACGCGTGAAATTTCCCCCTATTTTCTCCAGATTTACAAAAACAACTGAGCGAACCCAGCCTCGTCCCCAGGGATTCTCAATTACGTTCCTTTTTTTATTGGCAAAGCCCGTTCCATAGACGTCACGCTGGCGGATATCGCAAACACGTTCCAAATTTGATCAACGCTCGCTGGCTAAAAAAATTAGCCGCGGAAATTGAGCCAATCAGAAACGGAGAGTTATTTTGAATGAAAAATAAAAGAAATGACTCTGATCAGCGAGGATATGCAAGATATCATGTCTAGGGAAATACGTCGTGAGATAAAAGAGAGGGGGAAGAACTGTTCAAGTCTGACTATGTAAAACCTTTGACAGGTCTTGACGAGACGTGCACATGAACGAACATTGACAGTTGACGATTTTATTTGCAAAAAATACGGGCGCGTCTATGGCAATTAATTTGCCACAAACAATTTAGGCAAACCGCTTTTTCATGTGCATAACTTTACATAAATTGTGACCACATTTGTTTGTGTGGTTGGGGTAGCTCTTTAAAAATATTTCAAACACTCTTGAGGTAATCGATGTGAAAGAACGAGTGTTTGCTCCGAAGGAAATTACCCAGTACCATACAATTAATGTAACATTCTAAAACCTTATTCTAATGATAAAATTGATCATGTCCATTCGCACCATTTTAACTACTCACCTGCGAAGTAATCGATTCTGTTTGGAGGTTGTCTTCTCGCGGGCGGAGGTTTAACGTCACGTAATTTATTAGTCTCGTCCAATTTCTTGAACAAGGCAAGTCGCTTGTTGGGATCTTTCGGCAAAAGAAGGAAAAATTGAGTATTAAAGGGCAAGGATTAACCAAGACAAGTTTTAAATCTACTATAAACATTGCATGATATATTTATAATTTTGACTGAGGAGGAATGCTAAAATTACTGGTAATTTCTTTGGACCGGCTAAGGCAAACTCTTAAGTGCAGAGAGAGCCGTTTAGTCGATGTTTCAAATCAGAAGGAACCAAAATGGACTTTAAAAAAAATGCAAGACTAATACCTACAAAAAGGCTGCTGGCGTGTTTTACTAAACATGAATTGGCCGAAGTACAATCAAAACTGTTATTTTTTAAACATTAAATTGAAAATTCCACTTCAGCCTCCTTCTTCATTTAGTTTAATCTTGTTTTAGGAATAATATTTTAATCTTTATGACCAAAACCAAAACAGAACAACCAAAAAAAATGTTTTTGTTAAATGTGACACACGTTGATCAACTCACCAAGTAGCTTCTTTTTTCTCGCGGGATTGTATTTCATCTTTTTGGCCCTTTTTAACATCAGTTCAGCTGTTCCAGAACTTTGAAATCCCCTAGAAGGAATAGGTACAGTCAAAGGTCTCGCAAGCAACCCCCTCGGAAATTCGAAAAAGTGGTCGCAACTAGAGCTCGGCCCTTACGAGTAGGAGCTTACGTAAGCGACCGAATGGTAAAACACTAGAGGGTGGTCGCTTACGAGAGCTTTAGAAACTTATTAATAATTCATAAAGAAAAAACAAAATAATTAATGTTTAATGAATGTCCTTATATCTGATATACAAACGGCTAAACTTTACGTCCAATTTTTAGACCAAAATAACCTCATGTTCTTTATGAACGGACCATTAGCGGAATGTGCAGTTTCATGAAAGTGTCGAATCATATAGATAAGAATCACTTACGAGAGCTTAAAAAAAAAATTCCAGTTGGTTAATCCCAAAAGTGCTGGCAGTCGTTCACGCGAGCAGTTGCTTGAGAGAGCTTTCATTACCAAGTTTAAGTCACAGTTCAAACGGGGGTTCAGACAGGTGGTCGTAACTAGAGCTAGTATAAACAGGGATTTGGCCAGTGATGTGCAGCAAGTGTAAACGGCAAGGAGATTCTATCTTTCGAGTCTTAATGAAATTCGTAAGTGTGACTCTTCAAATGAAAGCTACTGAGATGTACATTCCTGTGCTACTGTTTGTTACGCTGTACAAAGGGGGTTCCAACTTTCGAGGTCTGCGGATTAAATCCGATAGTATGACCATTCAAATGAAAGCTAATGAGCAGCACTTTCCCGTGACCCTAACTTTGCCTTTAATTACCACAAGGGATATTAAAGGGAACCTCCACTTCAACAAAAAGATAACTTTAAATCACAGGAAATAACTGTTACAGTCAAGTCAATCTAAAATATTTTTAAAGAAAGCGTTTGTATCCGAAAGAAATAACTTTTAGATTCGCCTATTTTTGTTTTCAAATTTTGCGGGCGTCGCCATCTTGAATAATTGTGACGTGTAATGGTTGCCCTATTGTTATTAAACAAAAGCTCTTTGTGTCAGAACAATAGAGCAACCGTAACACGTCACAACTATTCAAGATGGCGGCGCCCGCGAAATTTGAAAGTGAAAATAAGCGATTTTAAAATTCACTTTTCCTGATATAAACACTTTTTTTAAGACAAATTTCGAACAAATTTGTTTATCAACATAATTTTATTCGATTTAAACTTATTCTGTAGTAAGAGTGGAGGTTCCCTTTAAACCCGGACTATCTCGCTTACCACTCACTACTCAGTTCTTCTGCGCGATGTGACAGATGGCTCTGCACACCAGACGTTTCTGACATTTGATCATGGTCTGTAATTGTCCTAGCAACGTCAATTTGATTGACATCTGTAATGGGTGAATCCGCTGAGCGCCATGCATGACGTGGCTTTGGCACTGCGGTCTTATTTAGCATATCTTCATGGAAACGCGTTGTGGGGATCTGCTGGGATAAGAGTGAAGAAGTTAATCATTAACCTTGTAACTACCAAATACAGAGGCTTAAGTGCATCAGTGTCATATATACGGTCAAATGATTGGTCAAATGGAGGCGAATTTTCCTGGTGGTAAATTGTTAGGAAGCACATCAAAGTTTAAAAATAGAACGAAAAATTTGTCGTCCCGTGTTTACGTCCTCTATAATTCGTCACTCTGGAAAGTTTCAACCATTGTGGTTGCTTAAACTGCCTAATAGTTCGTCAAGACCACCATTTTCCGGTCTGTAACTCTGCTGACAAGTTTGTGGAACTCATGTAAGATTCGCACTAAAGTCATCTTAAAATACAACGCAGTTGCTCACTCCGGGGGTAATATAAGAACACTTTTACACTTGTAGTTTACAAGTTATGGTTTACTAAAAGTACGTGATGACGAAAAACAAGACGCGAATAAAGTAGTGACGAACCTTTGACGACTGCGTTGGCATCCTCAGTACTGGCCCCCTACAGGAAAATAATAAAACCAACATTGTCAAACAAGATACTGTAGCTACCAACAACTCAATTGGATAAGCGCCGGTCTGCCGAGCGGGAGGTCGAGGCATCAAACCCGCGCCTGACCAACACTCAGGGTCTTAACTAACTGAGGAGAATGTGCTGCCTTTGTATTCGCATCTACAAAATGTTAGACATTTTAGTCTTCTCAGAAAGGAACGAAAAAACCGTAGGCTACGTCTCTCAGCTGTTTCACTGTTGTGATTCTTGTGGGACGTAAGAGAACCCACACTAGGGAGCTTAAGCAACAGCGTTTTTGAGCGACGGACGTCAACCGGAATTGGAATTTTGCACCATTGGGCAGTGGTTTGGTTGAAACTCTTGGGTAAACAAAAGAAACTTAGCAATACAAATGTGTTAGCGTCAAGACATATAAAAAGGGAGAAGGCCTCACTTCCGGTTGACGTGCGTCTGCTCAAAAACGCTGTTCCTTAAGTTCCCTAGTTACTGCTGTTCGTATGTTTAGGGGATGTAGACCTCAGTGGTGTGGACAACTAATGGTCTGGGAGAATAATGAAAGGAATGATATCAATTGGGACGCAAGTCCTGTTTCATCCCCGGTCACCGCGTTGATTCCAGTGGCGAATTTCAAGGAACTGAACTAAACTAAACAATATTCAACACTTGTTTCTAATGGGCGTAATGAATAAGACACGCGCCTGTCTAGTGCTATGGGTACGCTTTCGCAGCGCCGCAAAACTGCACGCTTGAGCTGTAAAATACAAACAGGCAGGTGTAAATAACTCTCGAATTTCAGCAAACTGATTTTCTGAGTGTTAGTAAACTGTTTTCATGAGCCGACAGGAAAACAAACGCTCAGTTTCCATTATTACTAAGGTTTGAGAAAACCAGGACGGTCAAGATTAGGGCTAAATTGATAAAAACACCTGTTGTGCCTTCAATTTGAAAGTGCGAATATAATTACCAACATTCTAACAAACACATTAGGATATCAAATAAGGTTTCTTTTTTACTACAACATATTTCGGACCAGGTCACCGTTCCAGTAGGACATACAAGACTTTCAATCTTCAGCTACAAAGTAATAGTCTTTGGTATTTGATCGTCACAGTGTTCAACCGCAGGTGGAATTTTGTCAGACATTTAATCATTTTACTGGGACATTGGACGATGATCGGCTGCTATTTGTTACTTTTAAATATTGTTTTGGGATAGAATAATGAAACTTGCCTTGAAGGTAACTGTGGAGTTTCGCTTGGTGTCCAGCCTTGTTCTAACACTGTTTCGTCAAACTCAAAAGCTGTTAAATCCACTTCTTCGTCATAATCAAAGTCCTCCTCCTCTTCACCATCATAGAATTGAGCTGCTTTCAAGGCGTCGGCCAAACGCCGACGAACGCGCCGACCACGAAAATGTGCCTTTTGCAGAAAGAAGAATACTTTCAGTAGCCGTTCGCTGCAATCTACCCACGTGCGGACTTAGTTCCCAGTAGCTGATTGTGTGCCAAATCTTAATTAAATTTAATTTTACAGTTTCTTGTCTTTATAGTTTTGGTAAGCGAAGTAACAAAAAGTAAACGAAGCAAAGAAGTCCAGGAATCGTTGCGCTAAAACCTTGTGCCAGCTGGAACCCATAATCCGGAGATAGCAACTTCTGTTCCGTATGTGTGCACATCCGAATTAAGAAAAAAAAAACCAAAACCATTTTCCGGTCTGTAACTTCTGCTAACTACCTAACTACTCTGTCACCCCAAAGTCGATCTAAAAATAAACCAGTCACTTAAAACACCGTGACACGAATACATGTAAGTGGTCCACTCCGGTTTATGGGCGCCTGGTTAATTGCCCCTTATTCCAGCAGCTTACGGAGTGACAAAGTCCGGTGGCATAAGCCTACTCCCCCACCTTGCTTCCTTCCCTGCTTTTTGCGGCCCGTACACCACGATGCTACACTCACTCACTTTCTTTTTCTCATGGTTCGTGCGCGTGTACTGCAGGAGAAAATTTCTAGGTTGCGAGTTAGCTCTCGATAAGGGAGGGGGATAGGGAGAAACGACCCCCGAGAGCTGCTCTCTCGTGGGCTAGTACACTTGGATTGGTTGTTTTATGGTAAGATTGAGAATCCCGAGGTAGTTATCTCGATATCTGTCACAGTCGTTTCCTATAACGTCTACATGGATTTGTCCAATACTCACTTATCACTTCAAAAGCGGACACACGCGCAGTTTTACTTTTCCCGAGGTTAGTCAAGGACCTCATAACTCGGTGAAAAGGATTAATGTAACAGTAAAATTCGAGCGGAAAATCTTGGGCACACCTCACCCCACCAGCCGAGCCTTTCTTTCGCTTGCTTGAGAACGTCTCTACATGATTCGAATAAGATCTTTGTTGAGCACGCTATTGGTTCTAACCCCTTCGGTTAAGTAAAGACTGGATGTGCAACGTTTTATCAATTAACAAATGCTCGAACTCGAAAAACCAGTTTGACAAGAGGAAACAAGATTGACTTGCCCAGAAGCTGCAATCAGGGACAAAAGTAGTTGACACTTTTGTCTATAATGGGTGGTTTTATCAACAATTTCATTCATTTATTATTTCATTCTATTTAGACGCCGTCAATCCCCCACCCCTGAATCAAAGTTGTTTGTAGTACAAGAAACACTTGAGGGACTAAAACACAACACTGGTTTTGAGGGGAGGGGGTGCTTGTACACAGGGGGAGGGGATAGGTTTGTCCACTGTTCAAAAAGGGGCCATTTTAAAGAAGTGTCTCAACACTTTTGTCCCTCTTTGTGGGCTACGGCGATTTCGAAGGCTTGATGCGATTCAAACAGTCTCTTTTTCTCTTCCTCGATCAAGGAGAAGACAAAAGGAGGCTCTGCTCGCAGGGTGACCGTCTTTCTTGTCGGAATGCGATACAAACCCATTTACAGTCAAACCTCCTTAATACGGACACCAAAGGGACAGAACCAAGTGTCCGCTTTACAGAGGTGTCCGTATTATAGAGGTAGGGAATGTATGATTTTTGGCTTTTCTGGAACCAAACGAACTGTCCGTGATAAAGAGGTGTCCGTATTATAGAGGTGTCCGTAAGGAGAGGTTAGACTATATACTTTACCTGAATGACTGTAGCAGCCGAGTTTCTCTTTGGATCCCTAGATTCTTTTGCTTCCCTTTTTAGCTGCGAACGAACTAAGTGACCACGCCATGCTGACTGGATACTCACAGCTGCAAGCCACTAAAACAGATAATATACGCGATATTTAAATGGTAGACTTACACATATCCGCTTTCTCTGTCACTCATAAATGAGTTCATACTAAAGCATTTTATTCGGTCTGGTTTACATTGTCAGTTTTTTTTGTTTGCCCACCTTGGTTGTATTGACATCAATTAAGTGTCTGATATACCATCCTCTCCACAAGGCTTGAATCTTTGTTGCAGCAACATGTCGCCGTTTCCTGTAATCATGACATGTGGTATAAATTTTATTATTACAGAGGTTCTGGGACGAGCGGCGCCTTGTGGCATGGATACAAAGTAGCTGGAGGTCATCAAACACTGCAGCTAGGAATGCGGAGGGAGGAGGAGGAAGGGGAAGGGGCAGGAGAAGATCGCCGATTAGGCACAATCATCTATACCATCTATTCCCTCCAAGAATTAAATTAAAATCTACCTGAAGGTGTTGCATGGACCGTTTGTGTAAAAAGAAAAGCTCTTGCTCAAAACTTAAGAAACTTTTGAAAAACAATTCAGTGAGAGTGGCGGCTCTTAAAGCGGCCGCTATGCCACACTATTCGCTATCTTTTTAAAAAGCGTTAAAGTGTCTGTGCATCCGCTGAACAAAAAAAAATGGTCCAGTTTTACTGTGCAAGACTATACTTAGGTATAGAAATTGTTTCATGTTATCTTTTGCTACGGATGGCAAGGATGGACATGGATTGAAACTTGATGAAGGAATTTGTCTGATATATTAGGGACCTTAAGATCCGACGACGGCGACGGCAACGGGAACGGCACAAAAGCAATAGGTTTAATTAGCAAAACAACAATTTTGCACCCTTTTTTGTACATTTCTTTGCCGTCACTGCACGACCACGACGTGAAAATGCCTAATTTCACGATGTACAGAGGAAGAACACAAGCAACGACGAAATTTCCTCTCTCTCTCTGAACTTGGATATGGTTCTTAGGAATTCAACTTTAGGAGGGTTCGCCTACAATTGACTAAGCTGCTGACCTGGAGTAATCGTGATGAAGATTGAAAGAACGCGAATTCACTTTTTCAGCGACGTTTTCTCTGCCGTCGCCGTCCTCGGATCTTAAGGTCCCCATTCTTCATTACGCTACAGCTACAGAAGCATTTTTGTGAATGGGCATAGGCACAAAGTAATTGACACAGAGAAATGACATGAAACAGCAATATCCTCGTGACACAGCCCCATTAACCCTTAGGGTCCCAAGAGTGATAAACATCAATTTCCCCCTAACAATATCTACACACAATCAAGAGAAAAGGTTGTGAGAATTGACATTGCATTTATCTTTTACCGCTGAAATTCTCTTTACTTTCTTTTTGGAAATGTATAAAAACCAGTTTGGAGAATTTATATGTGAATATTGGGGCTTAAAGGTTAAATAAGCCTGACTTTTTTACTTACTGAGGATCTCCACTTAGCTTATCTCCGGCTTTATCTTCTTTGTCCATGACTCTAGGTGCTTCCCTATTCTGTGCGACTGTT